AACAACGAAGAAGCTCACCGGGAACTATCGTAAACCAGAACGACCAGTGAAAAGCAAGGAAGGGAAAATAATCAGCAACACTGAAGAACAGCGAAATAGGTGGGTAGAGCACTTTCAGGAACTATTGAATCGACCTGCTCCACTGAACCCACCCAACATCGAAGCAGCATCTACGGACCTCCCAATTAATATTGGCGCACCTACGATTGAGGAGATCAGTATGGCCATCAGACAAATCAAGAGCGACAAAGCAGCAGGACCAGACAACATTCCAGCAGAGGCAATGAAAGCAGATGTAGAAGCAACTGCAAAAATATTTCACATCCTCTTCAAGAAGATTTGGGATGAGGAACAAGTACCATCAGATTGGAAAGAAGGACACCTCATCAAAATACCAAAGAAAGGCGATCTCAGCAAGTGTGAGAACTACAGAGGCATCACTCTTCTCACAATACCAGGCACAGTCTTCAACAAGGTATTGTTAAACAGAATGAAGGACTTCGTAGACGCCCAACTTCGAGATCAACAGGCCGGATTTCGTAAGGATCGATCATGTACTGACCAAATTACTACATTACGGATTATTGTGGAACAATCAATTGAATGGAACTCACCACTCTACATCAACTTCATCGACAACGAGAAAGCATTCGATAGCGTTGATAGGAAAACACTATGGAGGCTTCTTCGACACTACGGTGTGCCTGAGAAAATAGTCAACATCATACGGAATTCTTATGATGGATTCAACTGCAAAATCGTGCACGGAGGTCAGCTGACAGACTCTTTTGAGGTGAAGACCGGTGTCAGGCAAGGTTGCTTACTCTCACCCTTTCTCTTTCTCCTGGTCATCGACTGGATTATGAAGACGTCAACATCTGGAGGGAAGCACGGTATCAACTGGACAGTTAGGACGCAGCTGGACGATCTGGACTTCGCAGATGACCTGGCTCTTCTATCGCACACTCAACAACAAATGCAAGAGAAGACGACCAGTGTAGCAGCAGCCTCTGCAGCAGTAGGTCTCAACATACATAAAGGAAAAAGCAAAATTCTCCGATGCAACACAACATGCACCGACCAAATCATGCTTGATGGAGATGCTTTCGAGGACGTTAACAACTTTACATATCTTGGCAGCATCATCGACGAGAAAGGTGGATCGGATGCAGATGTGAGGGCGCGGATTGGCAAAGTGAGGGTTGCATTTCTACAGTTGAAAAATAGCTGGAACTCCAAACAACTTTCAAGCAAAACCAAAATCAGGATTTTCAATACAAATGTCAAGACAGTTCTACTGTAGGGAACGGAAACTGGGAGAACTACCAAAGCCATCATCCAGAAGATACAAGTATTTATTAACAGTTGTCTACGCAAAATACTTCGGATTCGTTGGCCAGACACCATCAGCAACGACGAACTGTGAGAGAGAACAAGTCAGATTCCAGTGGAGGAGGAAATCAGGAAGAAGAGGTGGAAGTGGATAGGACACACATTGCGGGAAGCACCTAACTGCGTCACGAGACAAGCCCTCACATGGAACCCTCAAGGCAAAAGGAATAGAGGAAGGCCAAGGAACACACTACGCCGAGAAATAGAGAAAGATATGAGAGGAATGAACAAACATTGGACAGAATTGGAAAGGGAAGCCCAGGACAGAGTTGGTTGGAGAAAACTTGTGGTTGGTCTATGCTCCATTGGGGGTAACAGGCTTAAGTAAGTAAGTAAGCCATACCACATTAGCACAGAGACGCAAATGTCAAATCAAATCCCTTGTGATAAAGATACTAAAGGTATTAATGGTAATGAAGAAGAATAGGGTTCGAAGATATTATTGAAGAAGTATAATTACGTGAAATAAGGGTAGAATAACAAAGGTAGAGGTGCTGACGAATCCAGAAGATTTGAGAGAGCACAAAGAGTGGATGCACCTGCGCCATTGCAAACGATTCTGAGCCATGTCATTCAAGGTCTCTAACCATCGATTATCATCTCGCGGACCCCAACAAGATAACCTACATCTACCAACATGACTCAGTCCACATGTTAGTGACTTCATGGATTTCTGCCACGTCTTGGTCTCGCCGCCCCTAGCTTTCTTCCGACCTGCTCCTACACCACAAAACATAGCTCGTCGCGGCAGTCGATGGTTAGCCATACGTAACACATGTCCCAACCACCTAAACTGATGAAGTTTCACTACTTCATCTATTGATTTGCCATCCCTACCTAGAACTCGTTTCCTAACGACAGAATTGCTTATACGGTTGTCCCATGATACACGATCAATGCTTCGGAGACATCGATGATCGAAGACTAGTAACCTACGGAAGTCCTCTACTCTTAACGGCCAAGTCTCGTATCCGTACAGTAGGACAGAGCGAACTGCTGCTCAGTACACTCATCCTTTAGTTAGCGAACGGATATCTCGCCTGCGCCATAGGTGACGCAGGTTGGCAAAAGCCAATCGAGCCTTCTGTATCCGCGCTGAGATTTGGTAAATCACCAAACAATCAGCACTGATGAGACTCCCCAGATAAGTGAAGTGATCAACACGTTCGACTACTTAACTCCCTATCACTAGTTCAGGTGCCGATGCAACCCAATCCTGAATCAACATTCTGCATTTCGACGGGGAGAACCGAATCCCGAACATGCTTGCATTGTTGCTTAGTGTGGTCAGGATACTCTGCGTTTTGTCAGCGTCTTCACCAAGTAGGACAATGTCATCGGCATATTCTAAGTCAATCAGCGAGCCACCTGGTAAAAGGTCTACTCCTGAAAATTCAGACGAGGATAATGTTATGTCTAGGAGCATGTCTATGATAAAATTAAACAAGAATGGAGAGAGTGGACATCCCTGACGGACACCACTTGAAGTGAAGAATTCCGGTGACAGTTCGCCATAAGCTCTCACTCGACCAGTGGTGTTGGAGTAGAGAGCCTGTATCAGGTTAATGTACACCTTTCAATGACAGACACTGCCACAGAACCTCACGATCCACTGAGTCAAATGCCGCTTTTAGGTCCAGGAAAACAACTATTGTAGTCGTAGTGTGAAGATGTGGTCTATACAACCATGTCCAGGTCGAAAACCAGCCTGGTTTTCTCTAGTCTGCTCTTCACGAGCACTAGTTAGGCGTCTAAGTATAATCGAAGCTAACAATTTAGAAACTATATTAGTTAGACTTATTCCTCTGTGATTGTCACAGGACTTTTGTCCTTTCTTGTAGATTGGGGCAATCAAGGATTGAGACTAGTCGGATGGGATTACATCAAGTTCCCAGATTCTACCTAAGATCTCAGTCAACGTAGCTGCTAAAACTGGACCACCATCCTTAAATATCTCAGGGGTCAGTCTATCAGGACCTGCAGCTCGCCCTCGCTTCAGATTTACTAACGCTTTTTCAACTTCATTAAGACTTACGTCGATTTGCCATTCAGGATGACTGGAGATCGTGGGTCACCGAAGAGTGGCTCGAGGCCAGTTGAACTGATCCCTAAAGTGTTCTGCCGGTCGGTCCAGTCTCCTGGATTGAGAATAAATAATAGCCACATCATTTTCCGAGATGTCTCACTTACAGTAGGATTTCTAATACCATTTGTACCCGGATAATTCATTCCTAACGAAAAATCATAATAGATTCTCACTTGAACAGCCACCACTACAAATCTACCATCACGGCATCATATATTTTGTGAAACATCCACGTAAAAAAGATATCACACATTTCTCGTTCGACTAACCTTCGTGAATACATAAAACCAAGGAAAGCTAAAAAGCACAATATGTTATTTTATACACTGTAAGGAAATACACAATTGTAGAGTGAAATAGTCAAAGTTAATTGTCGTATCTGTACTAAAAGGAAAACGAGATAAGCAATATATTCGAGGAATCTAACCGCTTTTTAAATAAACTCAAAAGCAATTACAGTTATTTGTACAAAAAATATCTGTCTAAAGGTGACGGCAATCTCAGCAGTGGATTTTTCTCGGAATTACGAAGTAAAATAAATCAAACACCATGTGTTAGCCAACGAAATTAACCATCATCATTTAATACGAATTGGTGCAGACTTTCAGTTAAATAAGCGCAGTAATTAATGGTAGTTGACTGACCATCGACATCTTTATCAAGTGCCGGTAACGGAAGGTATGCAATATCTGAACGCAAAAATAAATGATAAACTATTTAAATCAGTATGTAAACAAAATGTATTAGTTTATGACAACGCAGCGCGTTGATCAACATTTTTTTACAAGTTGCTAGCAAATTATTACTAGCTTGATTTATTTAAAACGAACTAGTCTAAATGTTTAGAATAAAAGGTTAGAGACCAACTGCACTAAAAGCAGTTCGTTATAGGATAAAGTTAAATGAAAATTACATTGGTATCGCATTTTCAAGGTCAATTATGCCAAAAGTATGCTTCCATTAAGGTAGTCTGCATAAAGAGAATCTACCTATTCCTGTTAGTCAGCTCTTATGAAAGGGTATCATACATGGAAATGAATCAGGGTCTCTCATCCCAGCATGTCAGTTTCATAATGCATCAAACAAGAAATGTTGCGAAATTTGTTTTGGACACATGAATTTACTTTCGAAATCGCACCACTGTTTATCTTTAGCTATAGTTCACAATTAAGTACATCTGAGACTAACCTAATATATATTGTAACATAAATCATCACAGCTGAGTCGGTAAATGGACGAAATGCAATATATAAGATTAATTGCAAAATATACTACAACTAAGTCTTTCAACTTAAAATCTTTCATCCAACAAATGAAATATCTTCGACAATTAGTCGCTGAAGTTTATAACTGATTTGCTGAGCCAATGAGAAGTGACCTAAGGAGGTGGCCAGAGTGTGACCACCAGAAAATGTCCTAAAGGACAAAATGGCTTTCCTTTCTAAGGAAGTGAATACATCTCTCCCGACCTTTGTTTTCTCGCCCAAGCAGGCTCTTGAGTAGTTTAGCACAAATCACTTCCAGATCTGGGGACCGAGCACCATGATGTGTGTATGTTGAAAACAGTTCTCCATTTTGAAGTAAAGACAACTAGGGTCATGCACTCAACAAACTAAGTCATCCTATTTGGGACTAGATATGGCATTTCCCGACCGTAGCTGCTACCTTGGCCTGGTGGTCGGGCTTGCCTATAGTGATGACTCGATCGAACTTTATCGGCTGAAACATACGTTCCTTTGGGTCCTACCATGCTGTGCAGGTCGACTGAAGAACGGTGGTACTAAAATCAGCTACTCAAGATCTGAGGGCGAAGTCCTACTGCTGACTGTAGAGGGGTGTGACAGAAGTAAGGTGTTTTCCTCGGACAACTAGCATCTGCAGCGATGCTGTCTTCCCACAAAGAAGGAAGGACTTAGAACGGTCAACCCTGGAAATGTCACATCTCATCTTAGCTCACGGATTTCCGTCTCCGGCGGTAAGGCTGTTTGAAGAGTGTAGCTAACACTATACAATCTTCTCATAAAAAGACCGCGCGTGACCGACCTCAAACACTTGGCGCTTGGGCTCTGCGGCCACGCTCCTAGGTCGCTAAGACCAACGCTAATCCTATTTCCTTTTAAGGTTCCTCAAGAAGCACTCTCCCATAGTGTAGGCAGCCAGGAAGTGACACCCAACCTCACCCGTAACAACACACGAGACCAACTTGTTCACAATCAAATCCTTCCTACACTTCGTAATAACTCTCCTATCTCCACGATCAACCCTTTTCTTGTTCCTCTGCCACGTTATTCCTGGTCCCCTGAAATACCGCTCTAAACTGCATGTTGGAGCTTCTTGTTTAGATACAGATTATGCTCTAGTGTGAGCGCGTATTTTTTGCGGCTTACTGGACGTAGGAAATACAACGTAAGGAAACCTCCTACGGTTCTACTTAATGATAGCAAAGCAAGGATTATATTTCAGGAACAACTGGGAAAACGTTAGGCAACCATGCAGTTAGTAATACCCACGTCAAGACAGCTTGGAATGATATCATAAAGGCTGTGGAAACAGCAGTGATATCTTCTAGTAAGGTAAACAATAAGGTTAGGGAGAAACATTTGATTTCAGTAGCATCTACCGAACTGATAGATGTTCTTAAACTCATCCCACCTGGCTCTGAACATGACAAAGAGGGAAGTCAGCTTAGGTGCAGCCTGATAAAAAGCCTACGCAATGATCGCGGACAGTGGTAGGTAGCGAAGGCAAAAGAGATGGAAAATGTAGCGGCCATAGACAACAGCAGGCCACTATTCAGACTCATGAAGGAAACCGGAATTAGAAATCTGACTGTAAGTTAGACTGTCTCAAAAGAGGATGGGCTTATTATTCATTCTCAACCCAGGAGATCGGATCGATGGGTAGAACACTTTCGGAACTGACCCTCGGCCACACTGCGGTAGCCTACGCTCTCCAGTCAACCTGAATGGCGGATTGATGTAAGTCCACCGACTTCTAATGAAGTTGAAAAAGCTATAGGAAATCTAAGGTAAAGGAGAGCGGTCGGCCCTGACAGATTGACACCTGAGATTTTTAAGGATAGTGGTCCAGTTTTAACAGTTACATTGACTGAGATATTAGGTAGAGTCTGGGAACTGGACATAATCCCATCTAACTGGTCTCTTTCCCTGATTGTCCCAATTTATAAAAAAGGACAAAAGTCCTCTTGTGATAATCAAAGAAGAATCAGTTTAACTGATATAGTAATTAATATAATAACTATATAGCCTCGATAATACTTCGACGCCTAAGTACAGCTCGTACAGAGCAGACTCGAGAAAACTAGGCTGGTTTCAGACCTACACGTGGATGTAAAGACCATATATGCATACTACAACAGGTTCTAGAACAAGGACACACATTTCCGCGTTGTCTTCCTGAATATTTAAGTGGCATTTGACTCTATTGATCATGAGGTCCTGTAGTAGTGTCTGTCATTAAAAGGTGTACCAAAGAAGTACACTAACCTTATACAAGCTTATGGCAGACTGTCATCGGAATTTATTATTTCAAGTGGTGTTTGTTAAGGCTATCCACTTGCTCCATTCCTGCTTAACTTTACCACTGACGTGCTTTTAGATAAGACATCATCATCTGAATTTTCAGCTGAACGTTTACCAGGAGATTCATTTGTTGACTTAGAATATGCCGACGAGATAGTTCTACTTGGTGAAGACGCTGACAAAACGCAGAGTATTCTGACCACCTTAAGTAACAATGCAAGCATGTTCGGGATGCGATTCTCCTCGTCGAAATGCAGAATGTTGATTCAGGATTGGGTTGCATTAGCACCCGAACTAATGGTAGGGAGTGAAGCAGTTGAGTGTTGAAGGCTTCACTTATCTCGGCAGTCTCATCAGTGCTGATGGTCTGGTGACTGACGAAATTTCAGCACGGATACAGGAAGCGCGATCGGCTTTTGTCAACTTCCGTCACTTACGGCGTAGGCGAGATATCCGTCTGCTAACCAAAGGAAGAGTCTACTGAGCAGCATTTCGCTCCGTCCTACTATATGGATGCGAAACATGGCCGTTAAGAGTAGAAGATATTCGTAGGATACTAGTATTCAATCAAGATGTCTCCGAAGCATTGCTCGTATATCCTGGGACAACCGAGTAAGCAATGCAGTTGTTGGCAAAAAAAGTACTAATTAAGGATTTCAAATCAACTGATGAATGTTCATAGGTTGTGGTGGTTGGGACATGTGTTACGAATGCCCGAACACCGACTGCCTCGACGAGCTATGTTTTGTAGTGTAGGAGTAGGTTGGACGAAAGTGAGGGGCGGCCAAACGAAAATATGGCACAAATGTCACTGAAAACTGGACTGGGTCATGTAGGTAGATGTAGACTACCTGGTCGGGGTCTACGAGACGGTAGTAACCGATAGTCAGAAGAGACCTTGAATGACATGGCACTAAATCATTTGCGATGGCGCAGGTGCATCCACTCTTTGTGTTCTCTCAAATTCTTATCTGAATTCCTCATCACATCTATCTTCCTCTATCTAAATTATTCTCACAGAATTATACTTCTCAGATGATATCTTCGAACCCTAATCTCTCTAATTACTGCTGATACTCCTACTACCTCTACCACTATGGGATTTGAATTGAAAATTGCGTCTCTGTGCTAATGTGGTGTGGCTGCTTGGACTTGTGTATGTAATTACGTACGAAGTTCTACGTTGTCGGAGACTGGCCGACATGTGACATTTATAAGTTGGTGTATAGACGTCCTTAAGAATATATGAACGAGGGCAAGTCCTTAGTGACAAATAACAAAACACAGACGATGTATCATACTGACATGAAGCTATTCAGTTAACAACTGAAAGGTTCTTTTTCTAATTAGCAGACCGCGATAAGTCATTTATGATGAAACTATCTAACCAGTTAATTCAATTAGGAAGAAGATACTGTTCGATTTCAGTCACCAAAGCTAATATTATCGAAATCAAGTATCGTCGGTAGGTTTCCAGAGTCTTAGAACAAACCCTATTAGTTGTGAAATCATATGACAAGCAAAATTTATAATGGTAAATAAACATCAAAATAAAAGTGAAGTGTGCAACTGCACATCAACTTACAAGAAGAGGAGTCGCTCTCCAAAACATAATTTGCAAAAATATTCAGTATATCGGTCACGATATCAATCGGTACTTCTGATCTGTAATATTACAAAGCGACATGAACAAATAACTAAATAACCAACACATGTTAACTGTTGATTCAGAATTATAAATCAATTGTATGAAGATTCAATATAGTCATAGATGTGAAACCCTCAGTACTTCATGTAGTCATGTAATCCTTTTTTATGCCTAAAACTGGTAGCTTTAGACGAAAGATGAACTGTGGCTCAGCAATATCGCCCTAAACTAAAGTTATGTGACGCGGGTTTAAATCCCATAGGGAGAATTAGTTTTATGATACTATGTATCCATAACTGACGAGTCTCAACCAGCAAGAACAAGACCTAACTCTAAGGCTTCCTCATGACTTCCTGCAACTATCTAACATCAAAACACTGCACACAACGAGTCATTTTAAATAGAGAGATATACAGAATTCAGGACTACGTAAACGTTAAAATAATTACTTCCTATGAAAGTAAAGACAAGTGCGTCTTCGTTCAGAAATCCCTATCACTGTTCAATCAAGAACCTACACGGGACCGAAATAACAGCATCTAGATCCCCCGACGAGAATGATAACCAATAGCCACCGCTCCCAACTTTAAATAAACTTATCATGAATCACTACTTTTGTAGGTAAAGAAATAAGCGGCATTCACTTACCCATTAGGAGACTTATCGGATAATTGTTTGTATAATCTAATTACTTCTTTACAATTTTCCGGATTAGATTTATTGAACCCTGTTAACAATTCATCATTTGGAAGACTTGTCAGCATGGTTGTTAGAAATTCACACAGTTGATTTTTTAAAGCTGCAGACTCATTGCAATTAGTTGGTTCGATAGGTACATTGTTGTTATCATTATCAATGGATAAATTTAAACCTGATAAAATACACTGTAGTAAACAGTGGAAACGACATGACTGATCCGGTACCACAGGTAGTAGGATTTCGTCTTCTTTCAACTTGGATATATTAACATAAACGGTTTCAACATTCGCACATGAATATTTCACAAATTCTATTAAGTTAGTAAACATATGACTTAGTAATTGGATGAATGTGTCTTCGGCATTTTCAGATTGTAATAGCTGTCAAATCAAGTAAAATATAAGATAGAAAAGTGAGTATCAAAAGACAACAATTGCTACTTTTACTTTAAACTTTCAAATTTATTATCGTTTATAAAAACTCATAGAGCAGCTGATAATAAACCACGAAATAAAATGAATTCATCTTATTCATCTAAGTTTGTTGTTTTTTCTCTATTCAAGAGTGGAATTCATTAAGTTTTTATGGTAATATTATGGATGATAATAGCCATAGACAATGTATCACACTTTCGAATGACGAGTTCGCCAAACTCAGAAACCATCAAAAGTACTCTTTTTTTGATTGAGAAGTGATTCAGTATCAGAATACTTAAGGTACTAAACTATTTCCATTTTACCTACTCAAGTTGTGACAATGATAAATTTTTTTTGACATTGTGATTCTAGCACCGAATTTAAACTTACATTATAAAGCTCTTCAAACTGATTTTGAATTTCCTCATGTTTTTCCAGTAAATAAATCGTTTTACTTATTAAACAAGACCGAACCGTCTCATTAAGATAATCCTGAAGTTAAAAAAAAACAGGAACGAGTGGATAAGACAAATACAAAGATTCATTATAGCATACATTACATATCTAATTTCTGATATACTTTGTTATCAATATTACAGCTTCAAATACCAACTGAGTACGAATTCCCCAGCAAAAAATAATATTTGCAGCGATAAAGAAGAACGTCAAATATCTGAAGGTGATCCGAAATTTCGGCTATGAACTATATCGATAATACGAAAAAAATTACAACAATATGGATCTGGGTCTTCCATAGCATTGGAATCGATTACAAACTATGCACTGCTACATAAGAAGTTTAATTATACGTAAGATGACAGTGTTATTGTTTCTGAAATAAAATATAGGAAGTTCAATGGAATAAATGGGGTTTAGAGACTACGGAACGAATATGACTGAACATAGATGATGTAAAATAGTTGCATCACTGTATAGAATACAGAGATAAGGGATATAATTAATTACTAATAGCTACTCACTTATTTACAAACATGAAAGCGATCGATCTTACCAATGCTAATAAAGTAGTAAAAAAGTTGTACAAGCACGGCTTGGTTTTTCATATAATGATCAATTTTAATTGGTAACATGAAAACAGAAAGAGATATAACTAAGTTATTACCGAAATGTGAAACTCCAGTACAGGATCAGACAGGAAAAAATACTCTTCAGCGTTATAATCATTTACTTCCCACACACGTAAACACATTGCTTTTCAGCTTTCATTAGTGAACCCACACACGTACACAAGGCATAAATTATTATGCTATTTTGAACAATGTGGCACGTTAGTGCATACATGTGCAACCAGTGGCTGGATGTATCAGGCAGGACAAACAAACTGATTCAGATCAGTTAGTCTAATTATCAAAACACAATTAGTGGAAAATATAGATTAGCCGATTCAATTTATTAAAACTATCTAATGCAAGAAAGCAGTATTCGGATTAAAAAAATTTTTTTGTGACTAAAATTCAGTGTTTCGAGTCATATAGACCACTATGAGCATTGAAGTAGGGAAATACGGACGAAGCCATTTTGCGATCTATTTTCGAATAAAGCAAATATGAGCTATTTTTATTTAAGAACGTAAATATTATCGGGCACACAACAGCTGATCGAAACACTTTTACTGATAAAATTACGTTTTTACAAACCAACATAACCATGAATACTCATTTTCCTTTTGTCGACACCGATGATAAATGCATGGAAATTTAAAAGCTTGAGATTAAGGTGTATGAGTATAGTAGTAAGTAATATATATTAAGTAATGATTTTACAGTATGTTGAAAAATAAGTATAAATCTTTTCAGAACAAAAATGATTTACCTCAGGTAAACGACAAAAAAACCAAGGTGGTCTTAGATAGTTTCTGATTTTTTCAACTAATTTCTCTACAGAAAATTAAAAAGATACTTTTATTAAAAATGGGACAAAATCAATACATGTTATTGGCTTTAAACACACTAAACTCAAATTATCAGATAATACCAAGTCCATGCGTACACCGAACTAAGAGTACCAGTAATGGAGTATAAGAGACATTAGCTTGTATAGCACAGAAACTGGAATATACAGTTGCAAGTAGGATATGTTAAAGGTGAATCGGTGTACAGCTTATTGCTGTCAAACGAAAAAATAATTTAGAAAAGCACTTAGGCGAACAACATTGCTTTTGATTAGATGATGATCCGAATTTAATATACGTGGATATATTTATATGCATAAATATCGAAATATTGAACCAACCAGAGCAATGTCTGAGTGAACGATCACTATGAACGTAACTGGTAGGACAGGTGTACCAGCAGTGAAAAGAATAATAAAGTAAAAGTTCATAACACTATTAGTACACCTCTATTCTTAAGATCAACTTGTACCCCTTACCTGCTAGGTGTAGTCATGTAATCTATTTCAATGCCACCATTCACTCAGATGTTGCCTTGATTGGTCGAGTATTTTCATGTATATCAGAACACAAACTGACGACGATGTGATGAAAACCATAGAGTTCACCTATATATATATGCTACGATAACAAAAAAAATTACCACTGAAATATTCGATTGCTTATCTAGAGGTAAAGACATCGGAACAGTTCGTTCTATGCTACTTTAGGGTTATGAAACATTGTCTTTATTAATGGATACTACGTTCATTTTAACATCGATTTCTAAAAACTTGTGTTGAAGTGATTGAGAGAAATAACTACTTTATGTATTTAAAAGTAGCGTCAGGCAGTGGTGTTACAGAGAAGGCTGATCTGGTGTTTTCAACCTACAATAAAGATATCAAAAAATGTGTAGACTATTCCTGTCAAAGGGCAAATAATAGGTGCAGGTTAAACTTTCTTTGACCACTTCACATGTCGTGAACTAACAGATTAGTCAAAATTATAGACGAAGCTGAGCGATTTGATGAAGCTATGAACCTATACTTGACTGGTTTGTAGTGTGCTTAAGGGGAATATTTGGGTTGGCTGTCTGGAGGCGATGACATGCATGCATGCCATGAAGTAGTCGACTCTCAAGAACATAGACAGAGAATTTTCGGGACAGAAGTAGGTTTTTCATCGAGAGACTTATATGTGTGGTTGTTCTGTAGGTGTACATCGTCTTTAGTGGTTTTTTTCGATAGTCATTCAGCTATCATTAGTTTGTAAAGGGAAGTATTTCCTTAATTTACGGCATCGATGTAGTGTATGTAACATTAAGATGAATTACGTGAATCTCTGATTATTAAAGAGGAAAACTCACCTAAATGATTAAATCGGCTTGATTTAGTGCAATGACTGACAGACAAATTGATCGTATGGTTAACAGCGTTCATGTAACGTGAAATTAACTCCTGATACAATTGTGGAAGTTCCATCAGTAGAGATATTGATACTTTTTGTTCATTTAAATGTGAACTGGTAGAGTTGGATGCGGATTTCCATGCGATCCACTTTTGTTCAGTAATTAGCTGAATAAATTCATGTGATACAATATTTATTAATCTCAAAATAACACACTTAGAGAGTGTTAAAACTTCGGTTTGATTAAAATTGGACAATCTTAATTACTGAATAAGCCGACATGCATCAAAATGAAAATAGTATAACATTCAATATATGCGTGTAAGTAATGAATTAATTTGAGTTAATTAATTTCATGCATTTAAAAAAGAGTTCCACTTTACGTCTAGCTTTCATAGATGATGATACTACCTGAACAATAGAAGCGAAGCAAGTACCTGCTACCCTATGGTTGAAAAGCAATAGCTTTAGCTACACCAGGTCACGATTCTATAATACTCAGAAATAGATTAGGCAATGATAAAAGGATTTTTTTAAAACGTATGAATGATTGAAATTGAAATAAAAAATAAGTGGAATTTAACGGTGTTCAACGACTAACATTAGGATGAAATGGACAGTGGATCGATGTCTGAAAATGTTTAACTGTATACATCACTCACATCATAAAATTATTTACGAACTAAAGTAAAGATTAAATATATTTTTCGACAAAATAACATATCAAATAACTTAACAGCTTTTCTATACTAACATCAAAGTGAAGCACGAATCTTACTGGAGTGAATTTGAAAACAATACTTCTATCAATTGCACGACCAAAGTAATGTTGGCATTCAACAAACACATGCTCTGTTTGTTCAACTCCCAAAAAGAGCAAACAGTTTATTAAGATGGAATGGTTTATAAGCATCTACGTGGGAGACGTGACAATAAACGATAGGTCGTATTGCAAAATTAAGGTATTATATACATGACTTACTGGATATCGCCAATTGCATAAACTTTGTGCCGGTTGAACTGATACTAGTTTATTTAAAGAAGTACACTCAGATGAAGTAACATTACAAGTGTTTTCACTGACACGAGAAAATATTTCATGATAGCTTCGGTGAAGATCGTTCGATTGATGTGATTGTTGAGGTGTGCATAATATCTGTTTATTGAAACAATTTAAATGTGAATCACTTGTTGCTTTGTGCTTTCTACCAATAAGAGATTCGTTAGATTTTCGAATCATTTTGCTACAATGTAGCGATAAATGAGAACTATGTACAGATGCAACAGATGGTGCTGTTAACGTTGGTGATAATGAGAGTCGATTCGACTGAAGCCGTACAAATAAAGAACAAAGTGAATTAGGTCGACACGAACTAATTTTCAACATATCTGTATTACTGTTCGCATTACTGTCATTAGTCATAGTTACTAAATCACAAGCCCTTTGTTCAGATTGGTTATGTTGATTCAATGGTGACAATGACCTAGTCGATGATAACGATGAAGAGAAATGAGTAAAATACTTGTCATTCATATGGTAATTTTGATAGTTCAACGGTGACAACACTAGAGAATCGACTAACAAATTGTAATCATCGGATTTATTATTTATTGTGAAATGTGGTCTAGTCAATAATAATTCTGATGTTGATACACTACGTTTGATTTGTCTAGTGGGAGAATTTTGTACAAAAAGGTGATCATGATCATGCTGACGATTGTCGATTGTTTGTTCCGGTTTACTTGTTAATCGACTACGAATACTATATTTTGCTTGTCCTTCATTACGATTAGACGACAAACATCGAGGAAAATATATACTTGACCTTAAACTTTGAGTTGAAATATCTTTTTCATCAACCGGATTATCATAATTCCCATCATTATTCAATGACTGTGTTGACAAAGATCGCGCTACAGAATTATTAGGCAATACAGTATTGGACTGTAACAATCCATTACATAGTTCCTTAACAGATTCATGATTTGAGCGATTGATTAAAATACCCTTCACTCCATCGGCCATAGATACTTTATTTTGTCTGTGTACTTCATCATCCTGTCTACCAACCTCATTATTATTATCTTCACTTTTATCACCATCAAGATTGAAGGTTACACGTTCACTACGTGAACTGCGCACAGTAGCACGAGGATAATTCATTACTTGTATACCTTTATTAAACTTTTCTTCTCCAACGGACTCATCAATCGTTAAATCATTATCTGTGTAATTTAACTGTTCCTCAATGAATGGTCGGCTGGAAAGTGAATTCGATGGTTTTTTATCTTCTGACTGTAGCAGCTGTGGTTGCTCACTATATGATGCTGGCGAATATCTACCATCTACACTATCATCTGTATAATTGTTACTAATTGTTATTGTTGAATATCGATTTGTATTCGAAGCACTAGATTCGGTATCTTTTATATCATTTGAATTATCAGTAACATATGTTAAATGTGGTAATGAATGTGTTCTATTTTGATGCTGCTTTTGTGAATGGTGAGGTTGATATGCAGCTGTGAAATAATCCGACTCTGTGATACTGTGTGCTAAACTACTAGCTGTTTTGTCTGTCGGTTGAATTGTTCGGAATAAGCCACCGACAGATTCATTGGTAATTGATTCGTTCCCATCTCCATTGAAATCAAAATGACATGTAATTGCTTGGCCTCGTACACCCCAAGGACGTCTAGGTTCTTCCTCCTGAAAAAAAAATTGATAAAATAATAAAAATTATGATTAAAATTCATTTATTAAATGTTCCCAGTAGATTTAGTATTAACAACAATGAATTAACCAAGCATTGTTTCAATATAGGCTAGATGGAAAGAGTGTGATGATGAGAAAAACTGCCAAAATAAATCTAATGCATTTCTAATGATAAGCAGCAAATTTTCATCACGAAAGATAACAAATGCTAAAGATTAAGAAGTAATGATCTGTAGAATCAATCAATTAAGCAGAGCATGAGTCGCCGGTGACTTATTGATGATATGGAGGTGAGGATCAAGTTATACTAGAAATTTGCTGACATTTAGAGTATCGATCGTTGTATATAGTATTTTGACCTTCATAATATCTAAAACTTTCGGGTTCGATCCTTTATAGATAACATGATCGCGCGCTGTTGAGTCTCAAACTAGGACAATGCTTTCTTGTTTCTAATGTAGCACAAGCTGATAATAAATAAATAGTTCGTGAACAAAAAATATCTTCAACTAAAAATTATCACCACGAGCCGCTTTAGTGAATAAATGTGTTGATTTGTAGAGTAGTATTGCAACAATCTAAATGTATTGAGATCATAATATAACATCATTACACAACATAAATATTTTTACAGAGGAAATTATGCTTGAACTTACGCTCGTGGAGGCCTGAAATACAAAGAAATACGAAGATATACATAAAAACAGTGAAAAATACGATGAACAAACCAAAGATTTTCTGAGTAAATATAAAATAATTTTTGTGTACAGTCATCCATATTTTATTGTGCAGTTTAATGTTCAAGCGTTGATCACAATCGGTTTTCTTGCTTTTGCCCTACGTAGTGTATTTAACTGGTGAATTTTTAAGCAAGATTTGTCTGATTATCTGATATTTCGTAGTCTATACATAATGGTACAGAGTTCCACATTGTTGTCTTTATTTATATTCACTATGATTATTTTCAAGATAATAAAAATACTTTGGCATTTTAAAACGTGAATTACAAAGGTTTGCAGTAGGAGATCTTTCAATCTCTTACGAAATGTAACTCCAAGCTATTGTGCAAGAAAGCCGATTATTTCAACATATTCAATAAACTGCTGTACAGAGCTTCAAACACGACTGACTCGATGATAAAAACCAATTTATCATACAATAAAATGGTTAAACTTACATTTGTTGACGCCTAACAAAGAGATAAGAACAAAATAATATGTATGTTAATAAATAATCTCAAAGGACAATATTAAAACATTCTAAAATTTATCCTCCACACAAGCTATGAACATTGTTCTACTTAGCTGATTATATTAAAATGACATTGTAATAACTAACTAGTACAACAATTTCCATTTCATTAGTATTTGTGACGCTGTACATCTGAATTCATCGTTCAACTTAGCGATAGATACTAATTCGATCACATAATAACTCTCATTCGTTAATATTTTCTCAAAAAACTTAATTTTCTTCAAAATAAATTGTTTACATGCATATTTTCAGTTTTTCCTATCGACTGAGAACATAAAACGTAAATATGGTTGTGTAACTTGAGAGTGATATTATTAAAAAGCGAACTGTTCGGCTTAACTTTTACGTTTTTCTCTATCGGTCAACAAGAAATTTTAAATTATTTAGTCATCTTGCTAACCGATCTCACTATTCGATATAAAATTTACATTTAATCGTAAATCGGTAGACACACTATGTAGCAATTCAACTACAAAAATCTTGCTAATCAAATGTTTATAACCTTAATCATTGACCAAGAAATGATAGATAATGATATTATCCATTTGCTTACGCAGAAGTATGTAAATCAAAAAGTTATCAGACTATTTCTACGGGAATCTAGTCTGTTAGTGGTGTTCTGACTTGATGAATATAGGGCAAACTGGCAACTACTGTCTAAACTATATATCAATGCAACTGTATAATAGTAAAAAGGATACATAAAATAACTTACTAATCTACAATCCGGAACACCTAAAAAGTTTATATTCATTAACTGAGCATCTAAGTAAGTATCCAAATCACGAAACACAGCAGTCTGTTCACCACTACTAGTATCATCCAAACGAATATCATCTATGAGAAAAAAACAGAGTACACAAAGAAAAGGTGTTATAAAATGAATTAATTAACAAAAGTGGATACATGTGAATAACTGCAATCATATTTCGTTTTACTTGTACTAAAACGGCCGAAAAAAACTCTCAGTGAAACCGGACTGTAACTAGAAGTGTAATTCGAGATGTCAGTTTTCTAAAGCTCGTCAAGCGGGCAGATTTATATCACAGTGTCGTTATGAACAGAAGGAGCATTCAAGTAGCTGAGTAAATGGAAGAAAAGCAAGCTGGTCGTACTTGGACTAAATGAAACCCACTGGACAGTATTTTCGATAAACAAGGGAGTATTTGATATAAAGGCACAGATTAGCAAAGCAAAGGCAACATTCTTACAACTCAGGACAGCAGTCAGCCAACACCAAAGTCAGAATTTTCAATGCGAAAATCAATACAGTTCTATTGTATGGAGCTGAAACTTGGAGAACTATCACAAATATTATTAAAAAGGTACAAGTATTGTGTTATGTACTGAGTATGCTACTTGACAGGGCTAATACAGAACACAATCATTGGCATTTGAACCAGTATAACCACCTTTCAGTAGAAAATCGAAAACTGGTAAAAAACAGGATTGTTTACTTCAGTACAGGGAAACCACGTGTATTCGTTTAGATAAAAAACACCATTATAATCATTCAATCTGCAGAGAGCGATGTTACACCATTGTCCAATCACCGTATGAAATAACGATACACTAGAAATTCTATCAGGTTACGACTGGATGGAATCGTTTCGGCTTCTTGAGAACTTCTGGAGGTTTATTGCACCGCCCAGGAACTACCCGATTATGTAATGAACGCATGAACCACCCGATAATGCATTTGTTCAACTAATAAATGGAAACTTCAGGGAATACAAACTGAAAAGAATTCACTGTCCTATGCAATATACGTTCATTTCGCTTAATATGAAAATTTTAAGACAATGAATTATATCTTCAATAAAATAATCTTTTTCAACTTTTATGCAAACCATCCATCCATCCATCCGTAAATTTATCATAAAAAAGTGAACAATCGAAATAGATGCGGAAGAAAAAAAATTCAGACAGAAACTATTTACCTGAATTACTAATATCGACTACAGACGTCGTTTCACTGCTTGAGTGAATACTTAATTGTGGATCCAAAGTTTCAGTAGATTGACTGAATATAACCTATTTATTGGATAGAAAGAGGGAAAATTGAATGACATAAGAATGTATGCACGAAGAAGTTCGCAACTGACTTAATAAAACTTTTTAATAAGAATTTGGAGTTGAAATCAACATTGAAATTCAATAGTCTATACAAACATCATACGAGCTTTCATTTTTAAATTTTGCAAGTAGCGACGTCTGATTATAGATTTTATCAAAAACCATTTCACTTTAGTAGATAAATCACTTAAACATTAACGATTATCAACTCAAGTGAAATCGTTATAATGACGACGATTGCACTGCACTGTACAGCTATGAATTATTAGCTACACAAAACCTAGTGTATGACTGAATGAATGGGCTTAAAAGTCATTTGTAAAGGAAATTGGGTGTCTTTTTCATGAGTTTATGCCTAAATTACAAGTAAATGAAAAAATTATTCGGCTAGGTGATTAACTAATACATACTCTCTCTACTCAAGCGAGCAAATAAGTAGTATCGTCATTTCGTAATTCCAAGAGTTGTTCATGTAGGAGAAATCAATGAAAACGGAGATTTGTTAATGCTCAGTGATTGATTCATGTACATAACTCAGTTTATTACTTAAAATACAGCTGTGTAACAAGCTAAAATAATTATCAAGATATCAAAACGTTCTTGATAATTATGTGCTTTGGACTTCAACATTTTGCCCTGCTTTTTCACTAGATATAAAGATGTTGAAATTCTTGTCCAGCCACAAAGAAAAATCTCGAGAAAGAAAAGAAACTAGAGGAATATACATAAAGTTAAACAATCACTTACTGATGGACTTCTTGGAGCACTGATACACTGTTGAGGAGGAAGGCCATAACAACTGACTAGACCATAGAGCTTTTCACGTAAACGTATCTGATGAATAGAAAGAGTTGTTTATTTCACAAAGTACTTAACGTAAAGATCACTAACCGAAAGATGTAATAATATGAATGACTAAGAGGTTATCAAAATATAAAACCACACATACTTAAAACTTCTGGAGAAGACGTAAAAGATCATTTGAAAAGTCTAAAATGAACGTTAAGCAAATATAGATGTTATGGCTTAAGACATCCACTATCAAACATTAACTTCAATTTAGTTACTTCACACACACTCATTTATATGTAGATTTGTTTACACTGACTATTCGTTAACAAAGGTTACACTGAATTGATTCAAGACAAAATGGCAAAATAAATTGCCTTAAAAAGCGATATTACATGGAGAAAAATCCTGTACTGAATTATTCCATGACATTACGCGTGATCCCTCTCCCACAAAAAAAGCATAAAGTCAGTTAGTCATACACGTTTGTAGGACACTTTTCAATCGCAATTTAAGTAGTAACAAAAAAGTTTTCTAAAGAGGATCCAAATTTTAACGTTCAGACCAACGTTTGGTTAACTGGTACGCAAGTACAAAAACTATGAGTCCACATACAGTATTAGATAGGAAAGGTCAAAAATCATAATAAAAGTCTAGTTGTTGAGTTTACTATATCAAAAAACGATAATTTTTCAAACGTGAATGTATAAATTCAGTTAAATGCAACAAAAAGTCTTTTCTTAATAAAAAAAACTATTACCACTTTTTTCTTATACAATAAATACATCACGATTATGAGTTTTCAGAAGCATATCATACATCAATGAATAAAAAAGTTAATACATATTAGAGAATCATGTAAAAAAAATCTTAGAGTTATTATGAGGTGTAGGAAGGATTTGATTCTGACCGATTCGGTCTCGTGTGTTTGTATGGGTATGAGGGGGAATGTTACTTCCCGGCTGCCAACACCATGGAGGGATTCTGGTTGTCAAAAGGGGCACTGGCTTCAACTTTAGTTGAGCATGAAGTCTAATGAACCTGTTTTTGATTATTAACAGAAGTGTATTCAGTGAAAATCGTTTAGTGAATGTTTGAGAGTTAGATTCAGCTTTTCGTATAACAACTGAAATTTGGGATTCTCATTCGGGATACCACCATGATGAAAACTTTGAAAGTAGTTAGGGTTTGATTACAATCAATAAAAGATTTAGAAAATTAAAGATATATATATATATATATATATATATATATATATATTTACAGCACAATATTCCTCTTACTGTACAAAGTACTCAAAACAATATTAATATTGAGACTGTGCTTAGTGGTGGGATCGGTGACCTGCGCTTAGTCCCATTTAAAAATCATTAGCTGAATGTGATTATTTCCTAATATTCTTAATCGAACTGAGACTCTAAACCCGTCCACTTCGAATCAAACGTCAAAATGCACTTCCTGAGCTATTTAGTTCAAACAGCCACTGATCTATTCGACGAGTATGAAGTTATATGCGTACTAGTTTGGGTTTCACCGTTAAGAAAAACAAATGACCAGTCTGTGTGAACGTATTTAGGATCTCAAGTGAATGTGTATGAACAGCCTTGTAGTCATAAGTTTAAAATAAAGCACTGAAACAACCATAAGCTCTACAGAGAGAGAAAAAACTGCACATACCTGAGAATTTCCCGGTTTGTTCCATCCGGTTGAAGCTGATACAAACATTTCAATCAAGCCAATATCATGAACATCAATAAAATCTTTCTTAGTTGGTTTTAATGGGGTATGATCAAATGTTGGTATATCCACCTTAGATATATTTTCAGAAGTTAGATGTGATGGAGGTGGGGCGAACTGGGGAGCTAATAATGGAGCTTCTTGAAGAACATTAAAAGTGAAATCCAACACAGGACCACCGAGTTCTAATCTAGGAGGTTCACTGTCTGGTAATGGAACAGCGACTGCTGCCGAAGCAATTGCATAATCTAATACACGACCACTACCTGAAGGATCCAAACCAGGCAAAGTGTACGCAGGTGTTTCTGGAACAGAGTTTAATACAGCTGAGCGTGAAACAGTAACTTGTAAAATTGGAATAACATGCGTCCATAAACAGGTCTATGTTGGGAAAAAACAACAAAAATGTGTAGAGTTAATACAAGTTCGTGAGAAATTTCATGAAGTATAGTAGTAATTATTTTACAACACATTTTAGTGACCGTATCTACTCAATGTACTGATGAATGAGTACCTTTAAATGTGTTTATGGGTAATAAATATAAATAAAACGACATTCAGTAGCTCTATTAGCCTTTCTTATCACTCCAACAAATGAAAATAGATTTTAAATCGAAGTAAATTTAACTGTTCAAATCTATCTAATAGTTTTCATTTCTAATATAGTTTTTTTCTTTTAATCACCGTCTTTTAATCACGGTCTACTTAAATGATCATGTTGCTTTTTTCTTGCTCAGTAATAGTTATTCAATAATTTCAATGTAAGATCAATTGTAAAATAGTAGGAGGAAAAAGAACTCTCATTACTTACTCCAACAAATTGGTTAACAATCGATGTGATAAAATTTTGTAATGAATATTCCGTATCTCGTTGATTCATATCAACTTGTTGTAGAAACAAATGAGCCACTTTAAGTAAAGGCAATTGAAGACAAGGCGGTCCAGAAGTTAAAAGCTAAAATTTAAGACAAGTACTCAATGATTTTAAGCTTAAAGAAAAATCTAATCTTGTTAATATTACAACATTCATTTCTTTTTTTTTTTTTGAAGTAAATATCTCAAAAAGGGGAGAAATGTAGCAAAATGTGACTAGCCGAAATTCGACTATCAGTTATAGAGAAGAAGTATTCTCTAAAAGTACTCGACGCAAGCTATATGTATTTAACGTAGATGATAATTGTCCTAGCACGTAACAATTAGTTAATGATGAATTTGTTGTGAAATACCTGTGGCAAGCAAGTTAACCAATGTTTCTAGTGAGCATTACGAACGAATTCTATTGTATTTGATTAAATAAATTAACTATCATGCGATAACATGAAAACTGTTTCTGATTTAGGAACTATGTACGGATGACAACATTATAGGAGAATGGAACCATTGTGAGAACAATTACTACAAGTTTAAATAGTATTTTATTTGATTTGACGATCAGCTGGTGGTATTAATGCGACAAATGATAAATGGTTAAATCAGTGAGTATTTGAAAAATTCTAGTGGTGTTGTTATGATGTGACTCATTATATCCAGTTTGCCTAGCAATCAGTACTGAAAATAATGCAACTATAAAACGGATTCTAGTCTTTCTCTGCAACAGTCTTTGCACAATAGGACTCAATCGTAAACCAAAAGATTAGTGTTCGTGGAACGGGAAAACGGACGTTGCCAAGGGAACAACAATCAAGATTTAGACAATTTCACAAAAATAATTAAATTTAAAGAAAAAACCAATAAAATTTGGTTTACAATACTGAATGACAATCGTACCTAAAGCATATTCAATTATGAATAAAGGAAGTATTTTATGATATTTGAAGCTGTAAAACACAAGAATGTAACCAAAGACAGGAAGTAGATAATAATTTTGAGTAATGATAATGTTATTTGAAAAAAGCATACTATTGACTTTGTAATCAAGAGTAGAATAGCTAGAATTATTCAGATTTGCATAAATTATTCTAATTTACGATTGAGATGACATAGTTTCTAGAAGTTTTTTTTTACCTTTAGGTTAATACAAAAACTGAAGTACAAAATTCAAGTTTTGTGTGTAAAATAAACAATATAATAAGTAATATTAGTGTACTTATAAAGTGATTTCGACATTTTATTTTATGATATAAGTTAATACATAACTACAAAAACGTATGATAATACGTTAAAAGTAAATTTTTTAACTAAAGGACAGCAAGTTGCTCACCATATTGATATGTTTTAACAAACGTGATGTGTTTGAACTGCAACCTTCTAGTAAATAGCATATTACACATCGACTCCATTGATCAACGTCTTTGGAAAAACTACCAGAGGCATAAAGACGCAGAATCAGTGCTAGATTACTAAATTGAATCGGATCAGCTTTCAATGCAGCCTGAGCAAGTGATTCGGCGGCCTATAAAACAGTAAAAGATAAATAAAAAGATACAGTAAGAATTATAATTTAGCAGTATAGTTTTTATTTCAATCCTCACCAAATTCTATTCTGACGCAATTATTTATGTGTAAAATGTTAAACCGATCAAGAACTAAATGTACGTCAAAAATAAGTTAAACATTGTAACAAAATGCAGAAGAAATATCATGGTATAATTAATTACAATAGATGACTGGAAATTTCACAATGTTTCAAAATTAATTTATTGAAACAGAAAAATGATTCATCCTAGAACTATCGTAGATTTTAGAAACAACAAACAACACAGAAAATAAGAAGGAGGACGACAGGTATGAACAAGGATTGAGTTGACGATTGCCAATTAAAAGTACTATTCTTCTTTCGTAACGCACTATCGATTCCACTGGAAACAAATAGTAATACAACAACAACAACACCGACAGTTGACCATCCCCAATCAAATAAAACTATTGATTGGTGAATGAGTAATGGTTTTGCTTGTTTCATTCAGATTTCAGCAGTTATGATTTTATTTTGATGATTTCATTTGAGTGAACTTTGAGTGAATTTAATCAACAGAATTTGAATATTGAACTCAGTTGACAGTTAGACCACAGGTAGTAGAGTAAAGTTGATATCAACTGCAGATGACAGTATCAGAGCTTTATAATTGAAAGTGTGAGATATGAACTGGAAAAAATAGGGTTCGAATAACAGAAATGAATTGCGAGATCGAGAAAGAATCCTACTTTAGAAATAATACAAATGGGATATATAGATAAATGATCGATCTAAAACTGATTTAGGTAAAAAAAATGTGAACTAATAAAGCTAACTTCAGTGCCCTAGGCCTTAAGGGACCTGATAACCGTGTAACAAGTCCTTTAAATACGAACTACTAGCCACCTGAAAAGCAAAGTAAACAGCTGCTAGATACTTCTGTTTGTGTTAATTTAGAACGAATAATATCGTAAATAATTTTTTAATTGATTACAGTAAAAGGGATGAGGATGTTAATATGTTTAGATTGAACATACCTGAATACAAATGGGGTTCTTTGGTCGTAAAATTGGTGATTTGTAAGTCAACTGTACGTCACGAGAAGTGCCTCCTGGAACTATTGTGCTTAAGTTTGATGTTGATTCATAAGCACTGAAAGTGCCAAGGCTATTTGAGGGACAGTTAGCAAAAAGTCCAATACTGTCTGTTCTTATTTTGGAATTAGTCCCTGTGTTTTGATTCGTATACGAGGTGTACGGAGTACAAAAACTCGAAGTCCATGAACCAAGTGCTCGAGGAATAACATTTAGTGAACCACATATACCTCGACCTAGAAAACCACCCTGTAAGAAACTAAGTTGTTCTGAATTAGTATCACATGGGTTCGCAGGAACTGATGTAGATGGATCTTCGTCCCAAGCTGTTGTCAACATGGGCATAAGAGTAAGCAGAACAATAGGAAATGACAACTGAATGGATAATCCCATACGTCCAGTTGGTACCACCAAAGGATGACTGAGAAACGGGATTAATAACACGAGTAATCGACAAGATTGATCTACAAGATTCGGCGAAGAACAGCCCTATATTAAAGAGAAAGTAAAAACAGAAAAAATAAATGTGATTTGGCAATCGGAAATCACAGTGAGAATATTACTCAAAAAATGGAGTGTGTAAAACGTCGGAAAGTATATAAACATAAATAGTGCTGGTGATGAAGTTATTTCAATCACTATCTTATCCATTATTCATCTTCAAGGAAATTTCATTTTACTGAAAACGCACAAAATTGTTATTAAAGAATCCAATCGAGTGATTTCTTATGTGGGGGTTAATGTTCAGTATAGATTAGCTCTATAGTTTCATGATAGTTCACAATGGTCAATAGTTTGGTGTCCATAATGGTATTGTAAAAATCAGTGATAAAATGGAGATTTGCCAACAGGGATTACCGAAGACCTGTGCGAAATACACGAACGTCGAGAAACATTGAACACTTATATTCTACAAATAAATAGCGAAAAATGTGAATCTTACTCTTTGGAAAAGAAATGCCCAGTGAACGAAATTCTAGTATTTTCAAACATGGTTCAACTTTCACTGTTGACAAAAAATCCTATGCTTTCGAAAATAATATGATCTTTACAAATGTGAATGTATGATACAGGGGAAAAGATTAATCATGAAATAATAATGTAACTTACTTTAATCACTAAACTAAGTATTCCAGGAAAATATGGATTCCAATGTAATTGATCAAGCATTTTTTGCGCTTTGTCGCCTAAATTTATTTTCAAACCGTCAGACGATTGACTTAAATTTGATGCACAAACACTTGGGATAACTAAATTTAAAAGTTTTAAACCAACTAAATATTCATTTTCAAAATCCGATTCCAAGAGCAAAACACCGGTCCAAAAGATCCCAATAATTAGATCAGCACGTTCTCCGGGAGGTAATAAGCATATACTATTGTTATTGCTGTTATTATTATCATTATTATTTGGCTTAGGTGTAGAAGTACTTGAAGTATTAGATAATTTTGTTAAATGACTAACAAAGGGAAAAAAAAGACCAACCGAATTATTGTGTTATTTATTTGAAGATAAGGAATTCATTAGATTAAGAACGATTTCGACAATTCACACATATAAATGAACAAATTCATAATTGGTGAGTAAAGTGTAGTTTGAAAGCTAAATGGTTGAAAGTTCTACAGTTCTACATGATACTGAAGAAAATATATTCATTCTGTAGATTTATCTGCAGCAAACCGAACAGTAACGCTGCTACTAGTTATTTGTAGTGACAGATCATTCTATTAGATTTGTTCTTCTTATGTTTTGAAAATGAGTAAATTTGCAAAAGCTTATAAATTCGATAGAAAACAAGTGAAACAGTTAAACAGTAAAAATATTTTAAACCTTAAAAATTATTAAACAACAAACTCTTACTAAGAGTCGGAAGGAAATGATGAGGTTGGTGATGCATGTTCTAAAGTTGGTGAGGTTGATTGGGCTAATTTAGATACAGAATAATCATTGGCAGGCATAATCGAATTTAAGTGACATGAACGATTTCCAATCAAAGATGAAGATTTTGAATGACGATGAAAATGACGGCGGTCAGATATTGAGACCATATTTAGCGCTGACTTACGCCCATTCACACTAAGCGAACTGGGTGATGGAGAGGTGGGTTCAGAAGCAAACTGAGGAACTGATTCCAGAAAACTATCACTCTTTGACTTCAAATGATGAATAGCTGCCTCTTGTGTAAGGAAAAGTTCAGCAACATAGCCCTAATAAAATGTTGAATAAAAACATTGGTATTATAATATGGTACAAAAAACGTAAGCTCGTAAAAAACATAAATATACTTAAAGAGGAAAAACAGGTTATGTTACATCGGTTTATATTATTTGATAATAAAAAATGCATTGATTTATTTGTTTAAATAAAACAGCAATTAACAGACGTTTCAATATTAGCAATCAGCACTTAAGATATCCTAAACTTTGTTATTCACCAGATCACGACATGTATCTCTTATCCAACTATTATGACATATTTGTTTTGTTACAGGAACTTTTAGGCATATCCTGCAGTCAAGTCTCAAGTACCAGGTTTCTAATTCGCTGAAACTCGCTGTAAGGTTTCTGCTGTTAATCCTACAATTGAAATTGTAAAACCTTTGGTTTAATTATTCTAAGGGTTGTGTACGTAGATTAGTTTCCAACAAATGCTACTATAGTAGTGCATCTACAATGTTTTATTACGTAACATAAGTTAAGCAGCTAAATGTATCATGTGTAATTGAATAACTGTGCCAAGTGTTTACGAATAGAGTTAGAAAATATATATCAAAAAATAAAGTTAATGAACTATAAATAAAACCATCAACTAAAGGGTTGCCGATTTATGCATTTCAAATTTCCATATGCACCAGAAAAGCTGAACCGTGCAGAGGAAAATTGAGAAAACCTCAACAGCTAAATGAAGAACGATTGTGAGCCATTGCTTTTAAACAGGAGACCAATTTAGAAAATTTGCATTTTTAGAACTGTATGCAGTTCATATCGATGAGCGGAATTACAACGTAAAATTAAATAATGATAACCATAAGAGTATTGATTTTACGGCTTTTTATTTTTTCTTCAAAACTATTCCTTATGGATGAAGTCCATTATTAGTAACTCGACTTCTTTTTATCAAAAAGTTTAACCAGAAATATGGAGTTGTTATGAAGCCCTCTATTGATCAACAACGTGCAACAACATACTTGACTTCTTGAAACCAAATGTTGCGAAATCCATATATAATTTCTGTTATTACTACTCCTATCATGTCTTCGAAACCAGTTCTAATCAAAGATGAAGGATATGCAAAATTTTAAGGACAACTATATCTATAGCAGTATCACTCTTGATTAATATGTGCCTTCAAACGCTGTGATAAAAACTGAAACGAAATCCATACACTACAATTACCTGTATTTCTTCACTCCCATCGGATACCGTTTCACCTAATCTAGCCAACAATTTCGAAAAAGATTTCTTGTCTAAATGACCACCAAGAGCACGATGAATTTGTAAGGAACGACTAGCAAGATGTCGACTAGGACATGATAAACCTGTATTTAGAGCGATTTGAGATAAACGTGCAACCATACAATAATTTGAATGATCAATGTTTGCATCTTTGTAATCATCATCTGCCATAGTTAAACTCTGGTTATTATGATCATGTGGCGGGCCATGTAAACACTGCAAACACTTTTCCGCCTCTTCAGAACCAGCTTCAGATAAGGCAAGTATACGAGCAACAAGTTTAACAAGCTGTTCCAAGGAGTTCACAGTATTCATTGATTTTATAACTGACTCTTTATTTTCTAGTTTCTCGTTGTTTATAATCTGGTTAAATTCATTTTGACAATACTGAACTGTGGTGGTACCGAACGAGTTATGTTGTACATTAAAATCTTCCCAAGTCCATATGGCTTGTCCAGAACTGAAACATTACAAATACACGACAAAGTGCATTTTATGAAACTTAAATATAACAAAAAAATAATATTCTTTTCTACTTTATAGAAATGTGTTTAGTATGATGAACTTGAAATGCACTACTTTAATTGTTGATAGTAGTACATATTCCTGTTCACAAACCATGCTAAGATAATTTAGAAACAAAAGCATATATATTGACTAACCTATTCAAAAGTATACTTTTAAGTTGTAGAATAGCTTTTTCCAATAGCTTAAGATCAGATTTCTTAAATCTCTTGGTTTTCTCAATCTTCGATGAATAATGGTTATTGGATGGAACACTGTTTGAAATCACACTTTTTGAAGACCGTGGTTTGGAATAAACGGATGAAGGTGTAACAGCATTTGTATGTGATTTATTACGTAAAAATTCCTTCTCTGAATTATTTGACGCCGAGTTATAACAAACTGAATTATGCTTAGGAATTGATGAGTCATTGCAAGTTTGTGACTCAAAGAGATTATTCTCATGATGACGTGGAATTAGGGTTGCTGTACTAGTAAGACTGAACATTGAGCCACTCAACTGACCTTGGTTAGTTAACATAGTTGGATGAGTTTGGTAATTTTCAATTATTGGTGGACTAGTGCTAGGTGAAGATAGACTAGCAGCTGAAACAGCTGTAACATTGATATCTTTCAGTGGCATTAAGTTAGATGAGGTTGTTTGTCGGGTTTCCTCATCTTCAGCTGGCAATCTGTTTTTGAAGTTGTTGTTTCTGTCGTGTTTGGAAGCTGCAGAAGAAACAGGTGATGAAGAAAACAACTGATCTCTTTCGATAAAATCTAAGGGATCAAGAACCATATTGAATTTTTCCTGTAATTCGAAAAAAACAAAATACAACATGAGTGAATAGAGTGTACCAGACAACACAGATGATCACAGAATCATTCTCATCGACTTCACTTATCAAATCTTTTTTATTATTCAATACTTCATCGTTGTCAGTAGTATTAAAACAACTCATCCTGTTAAACTGAATATCGTTTCATTTGATAATAATACTATCTCCTGCCTTTGTTCGATATTCAAATCAACATCGTAATCTTATAAAAAAAATAATTTGAAATTTCAGAATTTTGAACAGTTCAAATTGTTATCATGTCTATGGGTTATTTATTTCCTGGGAATGGTAGAAGTGAAACATTGACACAGATATCTAGTGTAATTTCTCAATTCAATTATGTCAGAACTATCTATTGGTAGACTATCAAGTATATTAGTTATATCATTAAAAACCAGTCATGCATAAATTCGCATTATTTCAGATTGTTATATCAAATCTGAGATAGTACTTGTATGAGGAATTAATCATCAAAACTTGTAATCAACAAGTAGGTTGCGTTAGCATATTGCAATTAACTCAACTAAATACGCCTAGTGATTAAGATTCGGTTGTAGAAATCCATTAAGATTTTACACTAGTCTCTAAAGAAAAATGAATTTTCTCAATGAAAAGATTTGATTTTTTTTGACCTCTAACAATAATATTAAGCTGTGAGCATTGATCATCCATAAGTTCCTCGTCTCTCATTTCATTTGTGAACAATAATTCAACTTACTTCCCTTAATAACAACGCAACGTAATTCAACATAGTATTTACAAAACAAGATGAATTTATTTTAAATTCAATGATTTTTAATTAACTGTATTCATTTTAATTAAGTAGAATAATCCATCAACTACTTTTTATGATATGTTTAATTTTTTTACAATCTTCCTTACTAACAGTCACTTCTTGACTAATTCATGTGCAACTGTTATTTCCATTTCTTAGTGTAATGCATTCAAGATGTTTGTATGTAAAGTGCGTATATGGAGGCTGAATACACAGACTGCTAGAGAATAGAGGCACGGTAGAGAGGGAGAGGTTACAGAAACGGAATTCTGATTCATGTTCTGTTTTGTTTTGTCATGTGATGTAGGTCACGGTTAGGGACGCAGTATGAAGTCATACATTAGAATATTTTCGGTATCTAATAATAAATTTTATACTTGCTAGACAATAAGTGAAGTCAGTATGATGTTTTGTATCGGATATTATTATGCCCAAATTAATTGTATTATTGTAACGTTACGCATAAATAAAGAAGCTTGGTTGTCGACATGGTACGGCTAATACGGTATGCAAATTTGGCACGTATAGAACGCTCCCGAAAAAACAGAAATGTTTACTACAGTAAGCGTGGAATTGTACAGGGAAGCAAGTGTATTTAGTTTTTGTATGAACTGGAAACATTATAATAGTGGTCAAATCTGACGTCACACCATTGCCCAGTCACCCTATGTTACTTCGATGAGCTAGGAATTCTGTCGGGCTGTGATTGGATGGAATTTATTCGGCTTCTTGAAAATCTCTGGAAGCTTCAGCATACCTTCTGCAAGCCGTCTCAACACATTTTATTGTTCGAAGTCAGAAAACTAAATATCTGTTGCTAAACTAAACATTTGCTTTCAATCACTAAAATGAATTAATTTGAATAACTAAAACACCAATTTAACTAAACTCACACGATATGGCCCACCATCTAACGTTAAACGATAGTCTTGAACACGAGGACCAGGGAAACCAGAGGGATAAGCAAGACGATGAAGATTTGCCTCTAATTCTAGTCGTAACAAACGGAGCATATCATGATGTGGACATACTTGATCTAACAAAGACACTAACAACTGTTTAGATTCTTCTTGTACAAGTGCACGGCAGTGATCAATACCTATGAAAAAGAAATCAATAAATAAGCAGAGATGGATGGCCATATCAACGCAATCCTCACAGGATGCACATATGCTAAATTAGATTGATCAGTTGCAGTCCTGACTATCAATCGGAAGATTTTAACACCTAATACAAATGTATAAATTAGTATATAGTATTATATTTTGTAAGAACATGTCTACTTATAAATTACTGATAACAAATCCTATTCGATAAAGTTAGTCATCATGAGAACACAATGATAAAACTGGATACAGAACTAAAACACATTGATTGTATGATTTAAATAAAATAACTAGTTATTTAGACATAAGCTTACAGACTCAGGATAAAATAAATAAACTTTCGAGTGAATCGCAAAAACTGTGAAATTACAGCCGTTTATCTGGTCAATGAAATTTACATGGATATACAGGGGATCTAGAAACTTATTTAAACCACGATTGGTATCACTGAAGCACGATCAAAATCAATAAAGACTTGAGAAAAATTGTATGAACATTCAGCCATCAACTTTGAATAATAAATCAGTGTTTATCGTTTACTACTAAGGATAAAAGGCTAAAAGTATGCTTGAATTAAAGCTGTCAGACATGAAGACTAAATTGAGATTCTTAAAACTGTATGTAACAGAGATAATGAAAAATTATCTGCATTGATTATATAAAGGTAAAAAAAACCCTGAATTATATTTTTTCTATTAATAAAAACAAAGTGCTAAAACATAATAAATGAAGACAATTTAATAATATCGATTATAACTAAAAGAAATATTTGTAATTTGTTTCAATTATCATTTGAATACTTTTGCAATCATGAAATGTTTATAAACAGAACTATCTAGTGGGGAAATAATTTTGAGGAAGCATCCAGTTCTTAAATACTCTATTCCCACTAATTCTTAAACAATAATACTAACCAACAAATAGTATTTGAATCTCAAACGATCTATCTCCATTTAATGACTGAGTTGTCTGAAATAATTTATAGTTTTTATATGGGAATTAGAAATAACTTAAAATGTGGCAAAACTGTTAGCAAAACAGAAAACAGGCAAGATGATATGACATAGAAGAACAGAGAATAACCTACCAAGAAATACACCGAGAAGCATTAAAGGCAGATGCTCACTCCAATCTATATGAAGACCTCTTGATTGAGTTAAACCGCCAGCCAAGATGAGAACTAAAGGTGATTTAGGTCCTGCAGGAGGCCAACTACCACTGAAGACAACTGATCCACCAATCACCAACGGTTCGGACAACCATGAACCCAGAGGAGCATGGAAGCCTCCAGTTGCAGGCATCGGGAGTGGTTTAGGATTGAAGTCAAAATATGCTTTGTTACTTGGATAACTTACGTCCACGTTCGAACTTCTACGTACACAACTACAAGTATAAGGCTTAATATCCGATTTATCAGAACTGGTAGTACTTTTTCTATCAGCAGTGACAGGAGATATAGGCAATATACATGTGTTAGACCCCGTAGATCCTTTTGAAGAAAGACTTAGAATGGAAGAAATGCTGGCAGGAAGTGGCAGAGGTAATGGAGGAAGAGAAGCAAGACTAGGTGGCAATGAAGCTGAGTGGTGAAAAGGGACTGATCCCGCGACATCAACTTTCGGACTTTTGAAACAGCTGAATCGTTTTTCTTTGTATTCTCTAGAATACTTCGACTGTCTCGTAATTTTGCATGTAGTTGGCAAACGGTTGGTTTCAAACAGCGGATTGGACAGCGCTGATGAATAAACAGACCGCTCGTGGACATCAGAAGTAGTGGGAAATGTAGTGCCGCGCGCACATAAATTTGGTATTTCGCAATTGGAATCGGAATCACTTGATTGAATGTCTTTTGGATTAGGTGGTGTTAATAAATTTGCAATGTCTTTGGCCCGCAGAGTAGCATATTTATCATCTAAAGTCAATCCACGCCTCCTGAAACCTAGGAAACAGAGTTTGAAAAAATCACATTTCATGAAAATATGAAAGATAGTTCAAAAACTTTTCCGAATAATCATAGCTATCCAGTACAGTTAAACAACGTTTAAAAGGGAAACAAAGAAGTGACTTAAAGAAAGTAATAATTTCGTTTCCCTTAATTTTAACGTCTCAACATCTCCTGTCTGTAGTTGGTAGACTGATCTAGTGGTCAAGTCCTTTAATCAGAAGCAATATGGATTTATAGAAATAAGATAAAAAAAAAACAGGAAATTCAACGCAAGATGAGTATTTGCTATTGGATGCAGTGAGTGCAACAATATTCATAGTATTCTCCATGAATGACCACTATTACGCTCGGTGTTAACTTCTCACAAAGACTGCGAAAGAGAAGAGGTTGTTTGGTGGAGTGGCACTGTGCCTCGTTTTACAGTCACGTTCCCAATTTGATGAGATTATCAACACTAATAAATCTTTTTGGGTATTCCAAGGAGAAATATTCCTTCAGTGTACGAGCAAACCATCAGCACATATCAAGCAACAGACTGATGTGTTAAAACTTATTGAAAGCAACAAAATATTTTCTAAAAGGTTAGTGCTTAAGTTTGTACAAATAATAGTGTGGTGCTGTGGTGCGAACTACTTATAAGTAGTATATAGCGTGAGTGTCAACGTAAAGTCTGGTAGCATAATATGGGGGGAAGATCAAGAAAGGAAGAGTCAGAAAACAATGGAATTTGTATGAAACCCATGAATAGTGACAATGGATTGATGTTTGGCAGCAGGAACAGTCCAGTTCCATAGGATGAACTGATCTTTTGCAAATGAACGATTTACGATATGGTTTTCCGATTTTACTGAGTAACTATGTAATTTTCGTTAAATACAATTCGGTTGCCTCCACCTGTGTTCTCATTCACAACAATAGTAGAACAATTTGATTTAGCATTCGGTTTCGAATACGCCATGAGTGAGAAATAGTGAGACTATCCGTCTATCTCGAGAAACGTGTGTGAGGTGGCGCTAAGTAATTCCTTCACTACGACATCATTCGATGCAGCTAGTGTATTATAACAATAATTTACCTTCAAATGAATCAACATCAATTTCCGGCTCTCCATCACTTCCTTCAACTAGCTGGTAATTAGATAAAGCTGCTGGTGATTCAAGGGATTTCTCTGACTGTGGTGATTCAGAGGAGCTGTGACTGTTGTAACGAACTTTAGAAGTCGGTGAAACTGTAGTACGTCGTATTCGATTTTCGTTTAAAGTAGTTTGTTTGTGTCTCTTAGTAGATGTAATGACAGTAGATGGTTGACAGGTAGCTGATTTCGGACGTACTGTAACATTAAAATTAGAAGACCTATTTCAAAAAAAAATAACAGGAAACATGTTGTTTTTTTAAATTCTCAACTTTAAACAGGAAACCTTCAGAGCATTTAATAAAAAGTCTACATATTATCTCATAAACGTATAGACACCTCAACAGACACAAAAAAAACACTTCTTCAAGGTGGTTTCTATAAGTATTTGTCAAGTACATAATCTGGTTCCTGATCTTATTAACTAATTTGATCAATTTACCGTGGTAATTAAGTTAATTGAGCAGAAATTTCAAACACTTGGAAGAATATAACTTAGAATGAAGTATGAATGAACAAAACAGATACTAAAACTTACTTGACATTCAAATTATCATCAATAGTGTGATAGTTATAGCTTCCTCCAATAGCGCTACGTAACGTCCGCGCTTGTGTCGTTGTGTTTGAACAAGGTTTGCTTCCTAAACCAAGTGCAACTAATTCATCATCCGGTTGGCCGATTCCTTCTTGATTAACTGTATTACTAGAACCGCTTATAGTTTTTGAGGAGGAATTATTTTGAACGTATGACTGAAATTTTGAAGATTTAATTTCTTCAGTAGGTTGACGATGATGATGTTGAGTAGAGGTACTAACTCGAAAGAATGGCAAACTAGATATAGGTTCAACAATTAAACCAATACCATCGATAGTCTGAAAACAAAAGAAACTTCTATGAATAGAACATGAATATGAAAATGGTAACTGTATGAAAACATACATATGGAAATTCATCTGGAATTTATATATACATATATTAACGTTTATTTTGCACTTAAGCCATGCGATATATAGTTATATTTTGGTTTTGACAATCGAATTTAAAAGCCATAAAGTATGAAAAAACATAAAACAATACAATCAAAACTAACTTGCATTTCGACCATTAATTCTCCTATGACACTTTCAGCTTGTTCAGAAGCCAAATAAGTAAGGAGACGTTTAACCTTAAATTGAGCGAAAAACAAATCTGTATTAATGCATTATCAAGATAGCAGGTTTTTAAAAATGTCATATATTACAGTGCTTCGATGTTCGGATGACATTCGATGTCAGTTAAATGATATTTATACATGATGATCATAGTTGATAGGAATTTAAGGCGATTTCAGGTGAAATAGTTAACTCGTTGAACAGGAATGTAAACCTTGTGACATTCGAATGGATAGGAGCGTTTTGTTTGAGTAGCTAATTGGTTATGAATAGCAATACCAGCCTATATAAGTTTCTTGCTTCTTTTTCTCTGTTATTTGGTTACGGTTTACATAGATACCTCACTTTCCTTGACTTCATATGTTAGTGAGGCGCAGTAAACTGGATAAAAACACTTGTGATTAGCTTGATTAGATTTAGCCACCACCAATGTAGGAACTGAGACAGATATCTACCAGTTCTGATCACCATACTTCCCATCACCACCACCCTATTGGGGGTTTCAAATCCATTAACAAACCATTTACCTAGTGATTATTCCGTTATCCCTTGAAGATGGGATTTTTCTTGTTGATCTATAACAAAGTCTTGTCATATTCTCAGTCACCGTAAATACATTTACATGCCCGTGCTCCTTGCTTGAGTTCATCCTTTTTAGTCCCCACCAAACGGATCACTCTTCTGAGATTTGTCTATTAGAGTAGCCTGAGCTAGAAGAGAAAGCAGAACCGTGGTTTCTAGGTATCGAAGGAGAGCTATGAGCATTGCCATATTACGATATTACTAGTAAACTAAACGTGGAAAAGCTTCACATCAACAGACGAAATCTTGGATTGAAAAGCAAGTGGAGGTTACACGGTAATAATTTGGAAGGATACTAAACATAATGGATACATCTGCTCCAATGAAACTCCTTTTCAGTTTTACCAATGGGAGTCCTCAACTACAGATAACGATTACCTCATGAACCTCCACAAAAAACTCTGTTCTTTCTGATACTATTCGATGATTTAATAAACTGACGTCATTTTTTGACCTGACAGTCACTAGCTTTCCTATCTACTCCCCGTAATTAGCCATACTGAATTATCGCAGTGGGAGTAACATATGTTACGATTAACTCAGTCATTAAACGTATGTTATAGCTATAATATGCAGGATAGTTGTACCGTTTGTACTCATTCAAAAACTGATATTTTCGCAATAAGAGCTGGAAAATTCGTTCCAGCTAATTACACGTATGCTACTGTGTATTGTTGTTGTAATGTTATTTAAATAGCTTGATATGTATTCAGTTTTAGGATCAGACTGATCTACTAAGATAAAAAAAAACACCAAATAAATAATAGGAAACTAAGCAACTTACATGTGCTAACAGGGTTCCGGGTGCAATAGAAGTAATAATAATAAGATATCGGAGAATCACACGTAAATTTGTTGGCCGGTAACGAATTAATGTTAACCAGAGTTGTTTTATTGCTTCAGATGAAGTTGGACAATCAGCAAGCCTTAAAGATAGGTAGAAAAGGTTTGTAAGCACGAATTCGGTAGCCTGAAAATAAAAATAAAACCGACAGACATAGTATCGTTATTTGCTTATCAATTAAAGTTATTGAATGGTTAGTAACAATATGTATAAAAAAAGTGTTTTTTCTTTGATTTCAACACAAGTATTTTGAAATTGAAACCAACAGTTGTATCGAATGGGTTAAGTAATGATACAATGTGAAGTGTTTTAATAAATCGTATGTGAACAAAGGGAAAAACCGGTTTATTAGTTACAGCGGTTAAATTTTGGGTCTACTTTCCTTCTTCCATCGCTAAATCAATTAACATATGTAGCATTGGAAACTAACGCCTTTATGAACTGGTATTTTGAGGTGATATGTAAGGGGAAGGAGTTAAATGCCAGTAGACATAGAGCTGCTGTCTGTAAAAAACTAAAGGTCATTCAATCATCAGACTGAAAAGTACAGTGTTGATTTCCAAAACGTTGCAGAAGACAAAACAGGCTTGGCGAGAGCTGTTGCCAAGTAAACTTCGATTGACAACGAAATGAGTAAAACATTCTTTTAAAAGTATCACGTAATGAAAAGCAACTTAATTAAAAAAGTTAAAACTAACTACTTTAGAAAAGAAATTTTGAAGACAAGAACCTATCCCACTTCTATATGAAAAGTTTTATAATATTGTCAATATTACAAATATTTCAACTAACTTTTTTGGATCCCCATCCTTTAGAACGAAGAGTAGGAGGGACAGTTGACCAATGTAGATCATTATGATTAGTAGTAGTATCATTAGATTTACATTCATTCCTGCAATGGTTATGAGGAGTTGAAAGATGATAAGATCGAGGACTACAAAGTTCTGTCTGTTCACCTAACATACTTTGACGTGCACGCATTCTCAACAATGTTAATGACTTGAAATTTCGATTATCAATAATATTATCTGAATCAGCGTCAGTATCATCATGATCATAGAGTAATTCTGAATTAAATAAGCTTTTTGAACGTTTATATCGTTTCGATGAACGAGTACGATATTCTGAAAAATCTTTTTTGGAAATATTACTTTGTTGTTGCTGTTCTGATGCATCAAGTAAGTTTGTGGTATTATTAGCCTTAAATGGAGGAATTCCAACAGGTTCAGGCAAATTATTGGACTTTTCGTAGTTAGTGGAACAAGAGCCGTAATAATTCTTATCGATGTCGGAAAACTCATCCTCTTTATCTATATTACGATTTGTTGAATCGACTAAATCATCTTCCACAAGATCTATAAGTTCCACATTCACAAGCCAAATTGAGAGTAGACGTAATAATGGAACACGTAAACCCTCTCTAGAATTTTCTAGACGTTTAGAAATCTCTACAATGCAAATAACCAAATGAAGAAAATAAACTAATCAGATTATACATAAAAGCCATCATCAGATAAGCATAATTACAAAACAGTACTTTATTATTATTGCAAATATTAGCCACCGTAAAATATTCAAAAACTTCAGGATTCATATGTTATTCCTAATGTTTGAAAATGATTTCAGGTCTACTACTACTCACAAGTTAACTGTGCATAGACCCTACTAAGATTATTGTCAGTTACAAGCATGGATAAAGGAGAAGGGTTGAGTGTGAGGTTAGCCACCTCATCTCCCAAGACAGAAACTTGCCTAAACGACCGTTAACAAGTAAACACTACCAATTACTACTCACAACGAAATCTTAATATTAGTTGTAAAATGACACAGAGAACACATAAAACTACAAGGAATACAAAAGAGTAAATAAAATACTAACCAGAAAATATTGTGATGGTAAAGTCTGGATGTTGTGCAGAAAACTGTCTTACAACTTCACACGGAGACCAATGATTAAAAGAATGATAAAAGAGTTTGTTTATTTTTAAATAATTGCGCAGATGAAAACAGTCACAATACTCTGGTATGCACGAAGTTGGCGATGACTGAGAATTAGCTGCTTCGATGAGAATGAACGATTTGTCAGTTTCTGTAGGATGTGCTTGTTTTAAAAGGCTTTCACCAGGCTATTCAACAAACAGAAATAAATATAAAGATTGTTTGGAAGACAAGGTATTTTATATTAATAGATATATTTCCATAATTCATAGTAAATTTAATTGGAAGTCCATTTTTCTATGTGTGCCATTTCTTCCTACATTTTTCTAGTTGAATATAACATCCGAGCCCAATGAGTTAGTAATTCAACTGAAGGACATTCGTAGTGCAGAAAGCTACTATGGTTTAAGTAATGAGTAGTTCATTAATGACATGATTTCATCTTCAAACTATGGTTACCAACCACTCCTAAGGATATTGTTACACATAATTTGTCCTCTTCTTATTTCTTACGCTTTTATGTGGCTACGAACACAAAATTCATTCAATAAGGTACACAAAACTTCGCTTCTAATAATATAATTATTTGTAACTTTAGGCTGCTTGCAGCTGATGCGAAGCAGTTGATTTGATAAATTCATTTTAATCCACAAATTGAACTGTACTTTGCTTATTTTGCATATGAAATATCATTTCCATAAACGGAAACGCTTTATCTATCGAATTGGAAAGGTCAACACCTAAGGACTAATCTGACTTCATCAGATTCATTAAGGATAAAATCATAAAAAATAAGTAACTAATGCAAAGCCGAATTAAAATTGACATACTTCTATGATGAAACGCTGGTAAAGAATTCGTAGTAAATAAAAAGCTTTATCGGAGAGAAATCTTGAAGGATGATCCATAAAAACGAAGCATAAAGTTATCAAAACAATATGATCACAAGCGAAATTCGGTCTATGTAGAAAAAAGAAGAAGAATATTTACAAAAAAACAAAGTGAGTACTGAAAATAAATTCATTCAACAATGAATAGCAAACAGACAAAATGGTGAGAATAATCATTGAAAGCATTTATGATCTAAAATATATCTTGCATATATGATCTGCCAGTGACTATGACTGATGATGAGAAATAAAACATAAAATGATATGGAACTTAAGCGATCTAAACACGTTTACATTTGACTATTAATTAGCTCATGAATGAAGCAGAATTACTACTGAGCATTATATAATTATCACCCATGTATTGATCACATCACCAGCATTCATTGATTTAAATACGCGTTATGAAAGAAATCTGTAAAGTAAAAATACACTATAAAACAACGCATAAATTTCGAAAGAAGAGAAATTTTTACTTTAGGCAAAACATAATTTTGTGCCTGATCAATGAAAACGAAAAATCATAAATATATATAATCGAATGGATAACAGAGAATATTTACTCACATATTACTCATTATAAGGCAAATACATTCAAAACACGCTGTGGATAATGATATATTCGATGCAGTATAACACTGATCAATTACCCAGTTGAATAGACCGGTATTTTCAGAATTGAAATCTAACAAAAGAACTAGAGTTTCTTCACCTAGTTGTCGAAGCAACTAAAACGAAACATATAGAAGTGAAATTAATTAGTGTAAAAAACAACTGCTGTTATTCGCGATTCAGAAAATAATGAATTTGATGAATCCGTTATGCGTTTTAATTGGTTTTAGCCTGAATGTTTATCGTGAATTCTCCTTATGTATTAATATTAAAGCTCAGTTGAATAGAAAAAATATATCTAACTGGAGAGCTAAATCACCTTACACTAATAGTACTGGATTTATAAGACGAAAACGTTTGAGTGAAATGAAATCTTAATGTGTAGTTAGTTTTCCTGAATGCATCCCCAGGAAATCTGGAAGGCACTGTAATAAATTCCAGTTTGGAATTCTAATAGGACTGAGTTTTTTTGCTTCAGCTTTACCGAACTAAACAAACCTCATAGAGGGGATAGCGGGAATTGTTATGCATTTTAGTTTTAAAACACGAACTGACTTCCGTTAGATAATCAATGAAAGCCAAAAAGCGCTTGACAGCTGCCTCGTCCTAGTATCCAACCCCTCGGGAATGCGTAGCCACGACCCTGTTGAGAATCGACGCCAAGATTTCTCAATAGATACTAAACCTTCAAACCATTGATAGGATGTTTTATATCTCTAAATTCAATTTACTCATGATATTGTACAAAAATCAACCACTCTCATTAGTGATATGTAACTTACACGAAACATGGCTGAACTCCGAAAGATACGGCTTCTCACTAGGATTCCAGCAATTAAATCTCTAAGTTGGTGACTAATAGGAACACTGATATTTTTAGTACTGGTGGTTGTGGAGAACAGTATTTTTTAATAAAACAAAAATAACATTGCGTGAAAGAAACGTCCCTTTTTTATACAAGTAATTAATCAAACTCAAAATATGTAGGAAAATAAAAAGAAATCAGTTTCAAAATATCAAAGAATACAACATACAGAATCTAATCGACGGCCACCACCAGCTGCTATTATGCGAGATCGAGTATGACTATTACCACACAATGACGCTCCTCCAGGATTCAAAGTACTATGCAAAAGACCACGTCCTATGATGGGACAAAACCATAACCACGGACTTGAACTGAGAGCAGTATCGCGTGCAACAAGAAGTCCAGAAATCCAGCGAAGTACATACCCAAAACTAGGAACGCAAACATTTGAACCTGAACCACGTTCTGTACCAGAAGCAGATGATACATCCGAACCCATACCTAAGACTACCTGGTTTAATTTTCCACTGTCTTGCGGTAGCAATGCAGAACGATCGAATATTGGCCCACAACATACCAAAGCTGCCATAGCTTGATTTGATAACCAAATTAAATCAATCCATAAACAATATTCCACAGATTCATTTCTATCGATTTGTTCGTTTTCACACGTTTTCTGTTGCAGGATTGTAGGACTCTGGGTAGGTTGACCTGATGAGGCACTCATATTAGAACTACATTCCAAAGAACCGGCTGATGGAACACTGTTAACACCTAGGCTGTTGAGAGATTGTAGAAAATTATCATTTGATAACTGGTTATGAAGTCCAATGATTCCAGGAGGTATTTCATTTGATGGAGAAAACCCAACTACTCCATTTGGATTAGACATTTTTCCGATGGTATGTTCATTTGAATCGAAAAAATAAGGTTCAGTAGGCAATGGGCCTTCCGATCCTAGGCTTGAAAAAAAGCAAACATTTGGTGAATAAGTATGTTCCTAATCCATATCTAAACACTAAAATGTTCACTTCAAAAAGTGTTGCAACAAATGTGTGATGATACATTGAGATGAAGTATGTCAAATTTACGTGGTTCATTAGCATGACATAATTCGAACAAGCTGTCTACAGATTTGCTTGTTAAAGCATTTATATACGGAAAAATAAAGGTCATATATAAAGCCTTCAACAAGTAAATGTGTGGTCAGATTGGTTAAAATGTATGACGCTAAAATATCACAGTTCTGATCAACTCCTCATTGGATTATCGAAATTCGCTAGATGGATGATTTATTTGTAAACGACTGACACCTAAACAAAGCTGATAACATGAACGTTAGGCTAATTTCAAAGAAATCTAATGAAACGCATCTTGGAAAATGATAATTCAGATCTATGGCTATTAAAAGAACAACTGAGTAATAATCGATGAGAATATAGTATAAGATCGAGACAGTTAGAATCCAGAAATTTAAAAATGAGGGAATTATATCCTTTATCAACAGTTCACTGAGTAATAAACAAGCTGGTTAGTTGGAAATGCTAAAATACGTAAAGGTTTTTTTATAAATGACCTTTTCATACTACCATAGTGACTAACCATGATTCGTCAATGAATTGTTCTTCGAAAATTTGTAACAAACGTAAAGATGAGGACGCTGTAGATACTGTTAAATTTTCTGAAAATCTATTTATGGTTGAAAAAGATTCATGAAGAAGACCCAGTGTGAATATATTTGCACACAAATTAATTAGGTTACGCAGCGATATCTCTACAGTATTCGAAATGAGTAACTTTTATTTCATAATACACAGAATAAGAAGAAAAAAAAGCCTGTGATCAGTGCTCAGAAATCTCAAAATAATCACAAAATGTCGTGCCAGCAAACATTTTTCGAGTACACTGGGAAAATCATTTATTTTATACCTAAAATTACAGATGATAACGTCGTGTAGAAAATGAAACAACGACTGTCAAATTTGAAATGACCTGGATTATTCGGCTGTTAAAATTTTTAAATTAAATCTCATACTAGTTTCATAAGCGGGTAGCTATCCAGACCCAGTAGCTGATTGATTAACGCAACGGCACTAGGTTTCAGTCCCGCAGTGAATATTAAAGCCGGGATTCAGGTGCATTTGGCTGACAAGTTACAAATAAGACGAAACGCGCGTCCCAAATTCCACCACTAAGCACATTCTGTTCATTGTGTATCAGCAGCCGTCAAGGCTAACATAAGCTTCAATCACGTTGATTAGAAGGTAGCACTATAAATCACTTACACCAATTGTCAGATAAAATCACGGAAGATATGGGCATTCAAAAGAATAACCAATCATGGTATAAATTCGTTTACAAATTCTAGTATAATACCTTAGTAAACTGCAAAATAACTTGATATAAGTAGTTCGACTGAAAATGCGATACTCGGAAGAATATATGAAGGGACGTGACTACTACTGCAATATTTCATTTATAATAGAACTTGGGCTTTGACGTGCATTTCAATACAACGTGATAGTAATGACTAGACTACTGGCGTCTAAATAAACTATTTCTTGAAGAGATTATTTAAAAATGCTAGTTTCTAGGATCAATCTACTGTACCTAAGTTCCAATGAGAATTACATTTTTCAACTGGATAGATAGATTTTGATCAGATACATGCTGGTGTGTGAAACCTGATCAAATAAAATGGTTTGAACTGATTTTACTGGTTAGCGTTTCTTTAGCAAGTTAGGTTGGAGTAGACTGGAGAATACTGGTTGACGGCCTATGCTCCATCATGGGTAACAGGTGTAAGTAAATAAAGTAAGCGATCTAATAAGAAACCGTAGACTAACATACCAAGCTGAAAGTTCAATATCTACAATAGAAAAGTTACAGACCCTAACGAGTTGTCTAAATCAAAGAAGCTGATTTTAAACCGACAATCCAATAAAAAAGAAGTGAATAAACTGCCGATTTGGTTAGAATGGTGCTGGGTAAAATTATAAAATACTGACAATCTTCAATGACCTGTCAGACAATTAGGAAATGCAGCATAATTATGAAAAACTTAACAACATAGAACAATAAAACAACTAAGGGATGAAATGTTATGAAGTTGCATCTTTTAAAAATATTTAAGGTTTAAGATTGAGTTAAATAAAACAATATATTGACAGCTCTGAGTCATCAGGAATACCGGTTTACGATGATTTCACGTGAGGCTTTTAACACTGGAAACTCAATACTGCATATATATAACTAAATATAAAATGTAATTCATGAATGCATTGATGGGAAGTAGAAATAAACTTACTACGTTCCCATGATATGGTCATGATGAGCACTCCAATGTGATAACAAAATGAACAGTTGATGCCTTAGTGTTGAAGGTAATAAAGTTGTACGATTCTGTTCTAAATGATGGAAAAAAGTAGATGATAAAAATGTAGGTTGAAAGTATGAACGATAGAATACAACAGGAATAACTATGAATAATGAACAATTAATCATGATTACTATCATTAACTAAAAAGAAGTACGATTGAAAACATGACCTCTAGTCGGAAAAAAACCAAATTGACAACCACAAGGATTCTGAAGTACTTAACATCCGTCAGTCAGTCATAATCATCAGCCTAACAGAGATATGCGTTAGTTAAAGGTCCTATATCACACGAGCAGGACGATATGGAATTAGTGGGAAAAACAGCATAAAAGTTGAAGCACTGTATATATAACAATGAAACGAAAGACTAAACAAAGTGAAAACGGTCTAAAACGTCAGAATCAAAAAGTAGGCCACAGAGAATATTGGGACACAAGATTAGGGGAAGATTAAAAGTGAATGTATCAATGTCAGTGTGATCGACTCTCGATTGCGTCAGCAGTCACCATTGATCACGGATATTACAGCGACACCAACCAAGTAGTTTGTATGAAATGATACGATTCCATTACACAGTTAATAATTTCAGACAACAAATCCAGGACTTTATTTAACAGGTTCCAGTTTTCCTCGAACTCACACTTACAGCAGGCTATATCGCTGGCTAAAGTAGATAGTGGTTGAGCATGCGTTACACATGCCACAGTTAAATCAGTCCACAGAAATTCAATGGCGATTACATTGTTTGAAGAATAATCATCTCATTTTTTTCATTGATACATCTTACATTTACTGACTCACATAGGATCGATGATTGAGCATAATTAAAATATAGTTTGGTACACAAATGTTTCTGACGTTATTTATCTTTCATAATTGCGGTTTTCACTACTTACCCAAGAACAATCTCATTGACATTGATGTTTTGATGAATATAATTTTACAATAAATACATTTTGTATGTTCGAAGTTATCAATTTATTCTAAAATATTCATATAGTTAACCTAGAAATATTCACACTACTCAGTATACACATATTATCTATTAGAGTCCACATTGCTATTTTATCAATCTTAATTGATGAGAACCTTTCCAAAATCATGATGTAAAGTACGTACACCGGTTTCTAGTCATTAATGCTAGTATGTTTCAGTTGTAAGCAGTCGACAAAAAACTGAAAAATAAAATGAATCAATGTTTATTCTGCTACAATAATACTTCTGGCTTTATTTAAATTTATTAATGGAATAATTGTGTGAAACTAATATGTCCGTTGAACTCCACCTCAAGACCCTCTGTGGCTACTGCTGACTTCAAGCCGGGATAAAAGAGGAAGGTTGGGTGTTGGGTTGGCGACCAAATCCCGCTGAAAACTAACACGCTAAAAAACGCTAACAAGAAAACATGATTCCAACCATTTTAACTCTGCCCTCAGAGTCAGAAGGTCTTCTTTCAGAATAGTTATGACGTCATAAGATGAAAACCGAGTTCCTTCGCAAGTTACCAGACCAACGCCCTTTCTCACAACCACAGCAACCATTCTTTTAAGTACTATAAATGTTCGAACAATGTGAGAGACCGGAAGACTTCCGAATGGCTGCACAGATCAATAGAAACAACCTGGAGGTGCTTGGAATCAGTGAAACACATTGAACGCAAGTTAGATAACTGAGGCTAATTTCAAGAGAGCTGCTGTTATACTCTCGCCATGAAGAAAAATGTGTCTCACATACACAAGGAGTTGCACTGATGCTGTCAAAACAAGCGAAAAAGGTACTGATAGCATGGCAATCTCATAAACATAAGATCATCGTTCAAAGCAAAGAAAGACGATAATACGATGAACGTAATCTGATACTAAGTGATCAAGTATGAAATCACTTTAACATATCAGGAGGTTCTGGGCCGAAGGAAGTACCATCACAAGGAATGGGTCCCTGTTGGTACTCTGGATAAAATTCAACAAAACATGGACAAGAAGGCAGCAATTAACATCAGCCGAACAAGAGCAGAGAAAGTTAAGGCACAAGCTGAATACACAGAAGCAAAAAGACAAGTGAAGAGAAGCATCAAAGCCGATTAAGGTATATATGTGGAAGATCTAGGAATGACGGCGGTAAAGGCTGCAAGAGAAGGAAACTCAAGACAATTGTACGATACAAGAAAGAAACTGGCTGGAAACTATCGTATACCAGGACGACCAATGAAAAGCAAGGAAGGCTAAGTAATCAATAACATTGAAAAACAGCGAAACAGGTCTGTAGAACACTTTAAGGAAATCCTGAATCGATCGGCTCCACTGAACCCACCCAACATCACATCAACATCCACGGACCTCCCAATCGATGTTGACCCACCAACAATTGAAAAGATAAATATGGCCATCAGATGTGGGATTAGGAACAAGCACCCACAGAGATACCTGATCAAAATACCAAAGAAAGGCGATCTCACCAAGTGTGAGATCTACACAGGCATCACACTTCTCTCAATATCAGTCATGCGAAGTCTTCAACAGAGAGTTGTTAAACAGAATGAAGGACGTCGTAGACGCCAGACTTCGAGATCAACAGGCTGAATCCTGTAAGGTTCCATCATGTACCGACCAAATTTCAACATCACGGATCATTGTGGAACAATCAATTGAAAGGAGCTCACCACTATCCATCAACTTCATTGGCTACCAGAGAAAATTCGATAGCGTGGACAGGACAACACAATGGAGGCTTCTTCGACACTACGGCGTGCCTGAGAACATAGTCAACAACATAAGGAATTCTTATAATGGATTAAACTGCGAAATCGTGAACGGAGGACAGCTGAGAAACTCGTTTGAGGTGGAGAACGGTGTCAGATAAGATTGCTTACTCACACCTTTTCTATTCCTCCTGGTCATTCACTGGATTATGAAGAGGTCATCGTCTAGAGAGAAGCATGGTATACAGTGGACAGACACGATATATCTAGACAATCTGGACTTCACAGATAATCCGGCTCTTCTATCGCATACGCAACAACAAATAATGCAAGACAAGACGAGAGTGTAGCAGTAACCTCAGCACCAACAGGTCTCAGAAAACATAAGGTGAAAAGCAAGATTCTCTGATACAACACTACATGCGCCAACCAAATCACTCTTGATGGAGACGCCTTGGAGGATGACTGATGTAGCGGCAGCCTCTGTGGTAGTAGGTCTCAACATACATAACAGAAAAAGCAAGATCCCAAAATACTATATAACGAGTGCACACCAAATCACAATTAACGGAAAAGCTTCGGAAAATGTCAAAACCTTTACATATCTGGACAGCATCTTTGATAAACAAGGCCAATCTGATGCCGATGTAAAGACATGGATTAACAAAGGAAGGGCAGCACTTCTACGATTAAAAAACATCTGGAACTAAAAACAACTGTCAACGAACACCAATATCAGAATATTTAATACAAATGTCAAGACAGTTCTACTATATGGGGCGGAAACTTGGAGAACTATGAAAGCCATCATCCAGAAGATACAAGTATTCATTAACAGTTATCGACACAAAATACTTTGGACACATTGGTCAGACACCATCAGCAACAACCTAATGTGGGAAAGGACAGACAAGATTCCGGTGGAGGAGGAAATCAGAAACAAGTGATGGAAGTGCGTAAGATACAACACATTGTGGAAAGCACCAAACTGCATCACAAGACAAACACCAACTTGGTACCCTCCAAGTTAAAGGAAAAGAGGAAAGACAAGAAACACATTACACCAAGACGTAGAGACAGACATGAGAAGAATGGACAAAGATTGGAAGAAACTGGAGAGGTAAACCCAGGATATAGTAGGTTGCAGAGTACTGGCCGGCGGCATATGCACCATTGGGGGTAACAGGAGTATGTAATTATGTAAGTAAGTAAGTAATGAAATAATAAGTGCTGTCATTTAGTAAAAGTTTTTTCACAACCGCTTACTTGGTAAACGTCGAATTAGCTCTTTAATAAAAATACAAAAATGTAAGCGAATTTCACCCAATAAATAAAATTCAGATGAATAACTCGCTAATGAAGGTCCCGTAGTTGTAGGAGTAGATAAAGAAGCCATTACGGAATTAGGATTCGTAGATCCACTCATCTGATGATTAGTCGAAATAGTTCCACCTGCAGTTACTTGTTGAGAAGTGGAACCGGACGGCAACGAAACTAATGGATTTACAGATGAAGATGATTGATGCGTATGACTGACTGGACTTAATAAATGATCTGATACTGATTCCAAATAACCCCTCATTCCATCCATATAATCAAGAAGCTGACAAATTAAAGATCCTTGAGGGGTGACTATATTTGATTCGCTGCAAGTTAAAACATGGAAGCAGAAAAATAACAAATTATCTAAAACGAAGTAATATATAACCAGTTTGAAATGAATATACCCTAAAATTTGACGCTGGACATTAAATATATCAAAGTTTATCACAACATCTAGTTATGAGATGAATTTATCCAAACGTTTCATTTAGGAAGAGGAAAGTAGTGAACACTTTCAATGAAACATATCAATAATTATTCAGAAGATTGTCAGAAAAGCAAAATATGTCAGCCTTGATCGATTGAGCGATTAGGTGGAAGATTCATCGAAATTGAAGACTGTTTTCAATCCTTTCAAACAAATTAGTAGCAATGAATCAATAATTATCAAGAGATAAGCCTCAACATGGCAAACGCAAAGTTCTAAGTCAAAACTGTTATCAACGGTATTGACTGATTCGGAATAGATGATGATTTTGTGATGTCACGAATCTACTCGATTAACCATTCACCGACCACAAAATTATATAGTATCTGGTTTCGAATAACTGATTAACGATATCGGATGAAATTTTAAAACGCGGTGGAAATTATTACTACGGTTATTATTATTATTAGGCCACTAGTTTAAGTATTTCGCTGGAAATTTACAAAATGTAGAATAAAAGAAGTTACAGTATATGTTGAAATGATAAAATAGCTCACGGATATGCGAATACACCAGTCTGTGCCATAAGTGAAAGAGTTTTAACTAAGGCAGATCTTAAGCCATCACGTCGGCGTCGACGGCGCAAATTCTCCTGTTTTCGATCGAAGGATTCTTTGAGCAGTGGTTGCAAATCCTCAAGTACATCTCTGAAATAATTCAGTCGAAAAACATGCGTGCATAAATGATTAGATAGGTTAAACGTATGGACCACTTGAATTACGAAAAAAATTAAAATCAAGATAAGGGAATTTTCATGCAATCGGTATTAATAGATTTTCAAAATACACAAAATTAACAATTAATTTAGATAGCTTAATGATGTTGCCAAATTGTAAATATGGTGTGAAAATGCAACAATCCTAATAATTACTTACTAACGCCTATTACTCCCAATACAACATAAGCCTATCGACCAGTATTCTCCAACCTAATCTGTCCTGGGCCTTCCTTTCCAGTTCTATTCGATTGCTACTCATTCTTTTCGTGTCAGTCTTAGATTCTCGGCACAGTGTGTTCTTCGTTCTATCTCTTTACCTTTGGCCTTGTTTGACCCAAGTTAGGGCTCACCTTTTGATGCAGCTGAGAGATCTCCGCAATGTGTCTGAATTGCTTTTAGCGAACTTTTTTCTCAGTTGTATTCTGGTTTGTTCTCTAACATAGAGGGGTTGTTGCTGGCCAACTGATTCAGAATATCTTGCGTAGACAACTGTTTATAAACACTTGTATCTTTTGGATGGCTTTGTGGTTAATCAAGTAGAACTGTCTTGATGCTTGTATCGAAAATTCGGTCATTGGTGTTGGCTGGTTCTAGATGTTACTTCGATTAAAAGGATGTGGTCCTCGTTTCGCTTCGTACTTTCTCCATATCTTCATCAGATCCTCCTTGTTTACCAATGATGATGTCTAAGTATGTAAAGGTTTTAACATCTTCCAAAGCTCCTCTGTCAAGTGTGATATGGTTGGTGCATGTTGTGTTGTCCAAGGATCTTGCTTTTTCTCCTATGTTAAGGCCTACTGCTGCCGAGGCTGCTGCTACACTGGTCGTCTTCATCTGCACTTGTTGTGGGTGAAATAGAACAGCTGGAACATTTGTGAAGTCAAGATAACTCAGCTGCATTCGAGTTGTCCACCGTATTCACTGGCTACTTTCCAGATGTTGACGTCTTGATAATCCTTCAGTGACAAGATGCAGAAAAGGTGAGACCAGGTAGGCTTGTAAGGAACCAGCTTTCACTTAGACAAGTCTGTGAGCTTACCAACACGGACAACTTTGTAGTACAATTGGTTGTAAGAATTCCGTATGATGATGAGAATCTTCTCAAGCACACGGTAGGGTCGAGAAACGTCTAACAAGTACCCCTATCAGAGCTATCAAGCGCTTTTTCATAATCAAGGAAGTCTATGCATACTGATGGTTTCCACAGTAACGCCATTTAGTCGATATATGATAGATCCTTTATATAATTTAGCCTGCTGATCTCGAACTGAATCTTTCATTCTGTTCAACGTAGTTAGTAGTTAGAATTTTAGAACTGACGAGTAGTCAATACGATGTAATCACCGAATACTAAGTCTTGTTTTCTCCAAAACTTTCAGTTAGATTTGTTACCTGTATTGCTAGGTGTTGTTTTCTTACTACCATTTCTTCATTAAACAAGCACAAAATCAACTATCAATGTTTTATGGTTAACCTTGAATATGTTAATGCACAGTAGATAGATGATTAATTTCAATTCATTCATATAAGTTTATGTTTCTTCACAAGATAAATGAAAACTAAACTTAAGAGTCTAACTAGTAACAAACAAATAATCCCCGTTAGGTTTAGGAATAAACATAATTTAGGGAGTAGAAATGGTATAAAAAACTTAAACTGTACTTGATTTATTGATAAATAACACGGAAATTACCTGAAAGCAGCCGGATTTATTCGACCAAGACCAGCAATAGCTGAATCTCTTATTTCCGGTTGTTCACATCTTAACAAAGGAACTAACAACTTGACTAAATCTCTAGCGTTCACTTTTCCAAAGGATGCTGAATGCTTTAAATCTGATGAATTAGACCAACTAGTAGTGCATGGGGAATTAGATACAGCTGTACGATTGGACGATGAGGTGGAATTCGAATCAGTCATTTGATTAACCACTTCGTCTGATTGAGTAGGAGATCGATCATTGTCACAACTGGAAGCAATGAAATAGGGCTTACAATACTTTAATAAAAAAACAGAGTAAAATTATTTACAGAGAAAACAAGCAAATGAATGTTTTTTGTGGACGACTAATACCCTACGAAGATGGCAGGCATGAGAAAGTTGCTAGATATATAGATAGATACTTTTGAAACCCGATACAGCTTAGCAATATTAAGATTTGGTACGAATGAAGAATTTGATACGGTTAGTGATGTTATTCATATTATTCAGGTCAAGTGTTTACAAACATTGTCTCGGGACACTCAGAAACTATCTTTCCTGATGCTTCCTGATAAAAGAATAGACAGGAAAAGGTTAGAAGCGAATAGACCGATGATCTGAGCTATAATGGAAAGCGAACTTTACTCGGTTGGAGTTTATAGATAGATAAAGCCCTTTAGTAACAGAGTTGAGAAGCGACTAAGATGGAACAGACACATTCCTGATTTGCCCACTAAACCTTGAGTTCATTATTACTCCATACTCTTTGTTTTTTAATGTTTAGTTTGTTACTACTCGTTCACATCAAATATTGTTAGTTTCCATTCACTATAGACATATTTTTACAAATGTGAGTTAGTCGATATTCTAGGAATTCTATCAGTTTGTGAATGGATGCGATTTTTTCGGCTTATTGGTAGCCTCTGGGAGACATCCTAACAAGTTAAAGATAGAACTTGCGGTATAGCTAATAAGACGGTAAAAGTGAGAGAAACGTGAATTAAGAGGAAGATGAACTCTACGCGTTGAAGTGCAGAGAAAAACATAGAAGTGTGGCGATGATATTGATAATGATGAAAGCCAAGAAGTGCGGTGAAGTTAAGATATAATGCGAACCGAAACGCTGAAACAGCTGAATTTCGTCCTTTTTTAAGCTTCCTCTTGACGAATCACTCATAAGATTTATTGGACAGGAAAACATATATTTTTTGAAACCATGAGTCGATCAATGTTAGACCGCCATTAGAAACCTGGAAGCACTGGACGGCCGTTTCGTCCTGGTATGGGACTCCTCAGCAGTGCGCATCCATGACTCCTGCATCCCGCAGGATTCGAACCCAGGACCTTCGGTATTGTAGGCGAACGCCTAACTATCGGACCACTGAGCCGGTATCTAACGGTGTTAATGTCTTACTTGATCAATTCACGGAGTTGCGCAACCTCATACACAGTCTTCGGCAGTTACTGTCTACAGCCGAACAGGTTGAACTTCACTGGTCACGTCTTCCCACTAGAACTCGGAGAAGATTCCTCACGAAGCTAGTCACTAGTGAGCACAGGTAATTTGCATTACGGGGTTGTGAAGATTGTTAAGTTACACAGTTTTTGAAACCATCAGGTTTCTAATGGTGGTGTAACATTGATCGATTCATGGTTTCAAAAAATGTGTAACTTAACAATCATCACAACCCCGTAATGAAAACATATATGTTTGAAACAAGAAACATTTACTTACTCGTTAGAATCTTTCGTCGAAAAGTCAGGTGAATGTTTTTGTAGTAGAGACTCCGGCTGATAGTGCGTATCTGCAGGTTTTGAAATGCGTAAACCAGTAGAACTTGGAGCTATACAGCATCCAACAACGACGTAATTGTGCCAAAGAGGAATAAATTGTTCACGTTCATTCGCAGGTTTCTTACTTCCAGTCCGGAGCAACGAGGATGCTCGATTTTCAGCTATTTGTGCACTAAAAGATTTACGAACAATTGCCGTCTATACACAATAAATGATCTTTAAAATTAAAAAATAAAACGTTATCGTCATCTATAGGGTGATAATCTTGCATGACAGTAAAGTTTTTAAAATAATAGCTTCATAATTTAACGGTCGTTTATGTAACTGTGAAGGAAGTAGGAAAGCTGTTCGACTATTTCACTACTATATTTTAAGTGAAATATAAGTGGGTTTTCAGTACATATATACCTGCAGAATGTATACCAAGTGAAGCATAAAAAATTGACAGTCGTTATATAGTGTTACCACATAAAAAAATATTTCGAAGTAAATAACCATAAAGCTATACCATGCTGTATAGCACTGGGATAATATTTTCCGGTAGCCAATAATTATAGACGAGTAAAGTTACATCGAAAACAACTTTGTCTCCCTATTAAGACGAATTTTAGCGGAAACAGAAATATAGGAAGGAAATAAACGGAATCAAATGATTAGTTTGTTTCAAGGAAATGGAAAAGTAGGTACGTGGACTTGCCTTGGGTCAATTAAAGGAAAAATAGTACTTATTCGTTGAAATAATATTGACCAAGCGGATTTGATAGCCATAGGACAACTTGTGGGCAAATTAGATGAGTTGAATACAATAGAAAGACAAGTTGCCCATACATCTGTGATAGCTACATTTTCCTGTGTAGGCTGTATAATGTAAGCTTGTTGAGTATGCTGAATTTGTTGATTATACTGTGACGCTCGTCGATGAACAGGTGTTGTAGATAAGTACGACTTGGAAGTTTGCATGTTACGAAAATCAAGAGACTTCGAAGGTATGAGTAGTCCAGAAACTGAAGGTCTGGCTACAGTAGTTATATAAATAGAAAGAAAATTACGGGTCTTAAACTATTTAAACTGGAAACATTTGTTAACAGTTACAAAAATAACAAAAGTTTTCAAAGGAACATTATCATTTAAAATTATCATGTACATCCTTGAGAGTTGAATCGTAGCTGTACCAGGGACATTTCTCCGTTAACTTTCAACTGTAAATGATAAAAAAATACATTGATTTTCTGGGGACGACTGACAGCTAAAACAACTGAATTTTCAAAGATTTACATTTAACTCGCTCAAACCTGCACGACTTATTTAGTCCGATAAGTTCCACACACTTAACACATAATTCAGTTAGACAGGATTTTTCAAAAGAAAAACATTTTTCTACAAAAATTTCATGGAAAAGACATTCTATTTCATTTAAAATTCTTTATCATTTGAAGCAATTGTTATTGTGGTCCTGACTAGAATCCAAATGATTTAATAGCGAAAGTGATTCAAATAAAGTTGAAATCACGAGTATTGTTCACAGCTTGAAACACGAAGAAGTACGATTTTTAGTTGACTGTCGAAAACCATATAAATGGTGAATTTTAAATTATTAAACATAAAAACTGTTCTGCGACTGCTCACATCTAAACGCTGATAAACACAACAAGTCCTAATGGTACACAATCATAATAATACTAGGACCAATCATACTGACGTAATTGTATGTAGTGAAAAAGGATTTTTGTTTATTCTGCTATCGTTGTTACGGATGAATAAGAAATAAAGCACAAAACTAAAACTAAAATCATTGTACCCTACGTGCCAGATGGAGGGGGTTAGCCTTAATCTCGTCAACCAACCGATATGTATATCAAGAAAATCAAGTCCTACTTTTGATTATCGACAAACCCATATCAACTGTTAGTTATGGATGGCAGTAAACACTCGTAAGAGGATAACAAAATAAGATATGATTGGAAGATAGATAATTGCAGGGTGAACAAATTGACAAGTCGAAAAATATCATGCTTTTATTTAGAAATATAGAGAAATAAGTATATACTGTTGCTTGATGATAAAACTCTGAAGTTTCAAAAAAGCAACTTGATGGGTATCTGAATAATATTCAAAGAAAATAATTTTAAATCCTAACAATTATCATGATAACAATAAGAGCATATTGTAGTATAAGTTATTTATTTACTGAATTAAACAGACAAATACTGGTAAAAAAAAGGTGCACCTTAACATTTATGCTCCCCACAAATTATTGAATTTGTAAGCGGGTCGGGATACTGCCTGTCTGCCAAAATAACATAGCAGAAGCTATGGTGGTGCAGGCCCCTATCCTTTGTTGTGGCTTTCCTAGCCGGATAAAACTTAAAAACAATCCTTACTAGTAATTCATTATTACGATTTTTCATATCGTTCGTTCGTCTGTATTTCTGCATTCTCTCTCTCCCCTAAATATTCTGTTTTTGGTAAATTATTCAAACAGTTTCTATTACATTATCTCACACACATTTAATGATGATTATTCTGTCTATTTTTACAAAATTTTGGAATACCACCTATTCTGAAACATTTGGTCAAGCCTTCATTATTCGTATCACACTTAGTACACCTGTTAACACACTACCAATATGTATTTTTTTTTATTGTATTCAGTTATACAATGTTTTTTCATTTTCATGTGTGACGCATAAGCTGACCTGATTAATTGAACAAGTTTAGATGAGAAATTATATCACGCGACCATCTTAAACTCAGATGACGTAACCATGCACTTGAATGATTCTCATAAAAGGCATTTATCTACAGGATATGTCTTTCAAAATGCATAGATTGAGTAGTAAAGAAATCGAACAAAAATATAGTAAATTGCAAAGATCACTTTGAGGAGTTGGAAACCTAGTTGATAAGCCAGATAGATCAATATTACTTACTTGATAATGTTTATTCGCAAAAGTCCATAAACAAGTATCAAAATAAATGAAGTTTGGTACGGTTAAAAAGAGGTCTATCTTCCTAAGACTTGGCTTCAAGGGTGATGAAAAAGCAGGAAAGATTGGTTTTATATAAAAGCCATAACAAAAAAGATATATCCAGTTACCAAATTTATTCCCCTGTACGAAACGAATCACTCATTAAGACAATCATATGTAGACAAATTGCTACCCTATATTACTTATAGATTGTATCTACCAATTTGCATGTACGTGCCAAAGCACAAATATCAAGTGATCAGAAAAGATGGTTAGTGTCCTCATCTCGGCAGTGCGTTTGCAGTGCGATTGCACGCCATTCTCTTGACAGTAGTCATGATGTTGACGTCTCGAGGTCTTTCAAATTAAATTCATAAAAATAGAAATTCAGATATGCAACGGTTTGCTGAAGCGATTGCTGTAAAAAAGGTTAAACCAAATCTCAAAATTCAAAAAGCACCAGTTATCAATCTTGTTTTGCTGTGGTAAACTCATTCATACGTGCTTGATAAGTAATTTCTCGTTTCGTAACTATAATTGTTTATTTTTATTATTCAACCAATTTTGCCTTGAGAGTTACATAACTATAACAATGATATCCTATCTCAAAATAAATGTTTCTATGTTCTTAGTACACTAATCTAAAATATTCGTATAGTTAACCTAGAAATATTCACATTACTCAGTATACACATATTATCTATTAGAGTCCACATTGCTATTTTATTAATCTGTATTGATGAGAACCTTTCCAAAATCATGATGTAAAGTACGTACACCGGTTTCTAATCATTAATGCTAGTATGTTTCAGTTGTAAGCAGTCGACAAAAAACTGAAAAATAAAATGAATCAATGTTTATTCTGCTACAATAATACTTCTGGCTTTATTTAAATTTATTAATGGGAATAATTGTGTGAAACTAATATGTCCGTTGACCTCCACCTAAAGCCCCTCTGTGGCTACTGCTGATCTCAAGCCGGAATAAAAGAGGAAGGTTGGGTGTGGGGTTGGAGACCACATCCCGTTGAAAACTAACACGCTAAAAAACGCTAACAAGAAAACATGATTCCAAACATATTAACTCTGCCCTCAGAGTCAGAAGGTCTTCTTTCAGAAGATTTATGACATCTCATGATGAAAGCTGAGTTCATTCGTGAGTCACAGCCACAGCAACCATTCTTTTAAGTACATTGGATGTTCGAACAATGTGAGAGACCGGAAGACTTCTGAATGTCTGCACAGATCAATAGAAACAACCTGGAGGTGCTTGGAATCATTGAAACGCATTGGACCATATCTGTATCAATAAAAAGTTCCCAATGACCTTGGAGGAGGTGAAAACTAAAAGAGGAGATGATCTAGCCTCAAAATATCAAAGAAGGGCGACCTCACCAAGTGTAGGATCTAAACAGGCATCACACTTCTCTCAATATCAGTCATGCAAAGTCTTCAACAGAGAGTTGGTAAACAGAATGAAAGACTTCAAAAATACTTCACATTCTCTTCAACAAGATTTGGGATGAGGAACAAGTACCATCGGACTGGAAGGGACACCTCATCAAAGAAAGGCGATCCCAGCAAGTGTGAGAACTACAGAGGCATCATTCTTCTCTCAATACCAGGAAAAGTCTTCAACAGGGTACTGTTAAACAGAATGAAGGACTTCGTAGAAGCCAGACTTCGAGATCAACAGGCTGAATCCTGTAAGGTTCCATCATGTACCAACCAAACTGCAACATTACGGATCACTGTGGAACAACCAATTGAAAGGAACTCACCACTATCCATCAACTTCATTGGCTACGAGAAAATTTGATAGCGTGGACAGGACAACACAATGGAGGCTTCTTCGACAGTACGGCGTGCCTGAGAACATAGTTAACATGATAAGGAATTTTTACGATGGATTAAACTGCAAAATCGTGCACGGAGGATAGCTCACAGACTCGACCGTAGCTGCTACCCTGACGTGGTGATCGGGCTTGCCTATCGTCATGACACAACCGAGCTATATTGGCTGGAACATATGTTCCTTTGGAGTCTACCATGCAAGGCAGGTCGATTGGAGAACGATGAGACCAAAAGCAGCTACTCAAACTCTGAGGGAGAAGTCGTACTGCTGACTGCAGAGGGGTGTGACAGCAGTAAGGTGTTTCCTTCCGACAATCAGCATCTGCAGCGATGCTGCCTTCTCACAAGGGAGGAAGAGTTAGAAAAGTTCGACCCTAAAAATGTCACACTTCACCCTACCTCACGGATTTCCGTCTCCGTCAGCAAGGGTGCTCACTAAGGGAATTTAAGAGCGGAGCTAATACTCAAAAAACCTTTCATAAAAAGGCCGTGCGTGACCGGCCTCAAGCAGTTGTCCCTTGGGCTCTGCGGTCACGCTCCCAGGTCTCTAAGACCAACACTAATCTATCTTCCTTTTCAGGTCCCTCAAGAAACAACCTTCCACGGTGTGGGCAGCCGGGAAGTGATAACCGCCCTCATACTCGTAACAGCACACGAGACCGAATTGGTTAAAATCAACTCCTCACAGACTCGCTTGAGGTGAAAAACGGTGTCAGATAAGATTGCTTACTCTCACCCTTTCTCTTTCTCCTGGTCACCCACTGGATTATCAAGATGTCAACATCTGGAGGGAAGCACGGTATGCACTGGGCAGACACGATATATCTAGACAATCTGGACTTCACAGATGATCCGGCTCTTCTAACGCACACGCAACAACAAATGCAAGACAAGACGACAAGTGTAGCAGCAACCTCAGCACCAGCAGGTCTCAACATATATAAAGTGGAAAGCAAGATTTTCCGATACAATACTACACGCGCCAACCAAATCGCTCTTGATGGACACGCCTTGGAGGACGTGAAAACCTTCACATATATGGATAGCATCACTGATAATCAATGTGGATTCAATGCAGATGTCAGAGCGTGAATCGGAGAAGCAACAGCTGCATTTCTACGACTGAACAACAACTGGAACTAAAAATAACTGTCAACGAACACCAATATCAGAATATTTAATACAAATGTCAAGACAGTTCTACTATATGGGGCGGAAACGTGGAGAATTATGAAAGCCATCATCCAGGAGATACAAGTATTCATTAACAGTTATCGACACAAAATACTTTGGATACATTGGTCAGACACCATCAGCAACAACCTACTGTGGGAAAGGACAGACAAGATTCCGGTGGAGGAGGAAATCAGAAACAAGTGGTGGAAGTGCATAAGAAACAACACATTGTGGAAAGCACCAAACTGCATCACAAGACAAACACCCACTTGGTACCCTCCGGGTTAAAGGAAAAGAGGAAGGACAAGAAACACATTACACCAACACGTAGAGACAGACAAGAAAAGAATGGACAAAGATTGGAAGAAACTGGAGAAGTAAGCCCAGGATAGAGTAGGTTGGAGAATACTGGCCGGCGGCATATGCACCATTGGGGGTAACAGGCGTATGTAATTATGTAAGTAAGTAATTGTTGGGGATGTTAGATCCCCTAAATTCGCTTGATAATGCCTTATTTTGGTTTTCACGTTTGCCAGCATGGGCTGGTCAGTTGACCTTGAGATTTCAATTCCCACCATGAAAATCCATGGCTGTGATTGGCTGCTGTGTATTTTAGTGTGCTATTTTCTTAACTGTCTCAAAGACGTTCCTATGTTGTATAAATAAACGAGAGTTGTATGCTTGACTGTACTGTGATTGCTGGGTGTTTGTAGAATATACTTTCTACGCTTACAAAGCCTTTTTACTTCAGCCTCGGATTCAAGGTAGCCTACCTGGACGCTGGTAATTGTCTCGTTCGCGTTTATCGACTAAGGTAAACTCGTAATAGCCTCAAGCATACTTAGTGACGAACCCTACAGTAATATATCCGTTTAACAATAAAATAATAAAACTGATGCCAAGCAAGTGATGGCTTGTTAGATGGTAATATTTGAAATTGGAAAGTATCGCTTGGTAATAAAGTTGTAAAAAAGGGATACTTTCGCCGAATAAAAAGAACAGTGATTAAAATATGAATTGAATTAAGCGATTAACGTTTAGAAATACTGACTGAAATATGAATGGACTGGAAGATGCAATCATAGAATTATTATGTATGATATGAAATGAAAGAAATGACAAATTTATGAGAAGTCGAAAATTCATAACAGTTATGTAAGCTTAAAGTAGACGTGACCGTTATTTAACAACAGAAGGTGATCGGAAATTATTTTGAAAAAGGATATTGGCACACGAGAGACTGGCAATTTATTACACACAATAAGTTTTAAATAAACAGTAGTGTTAGTTAATATGATAGCCGAGTTGAATAAATTACTTAATAAAACATAAGTTATGTTTGTTAAAATAGGTGCCAAAGACTCCCCACCTATAAGAAGTATTGTGAAAAAAAGTATTATAATAAAACGTGTGAACCGATTTCAGTCAAAGACGAAAATAAACGAGACAAAATAACTATTAAAAAGTATATCCAAAAAAGTAAATGGTTATTCAACTGGTAAACTTTTTTAACAAATTTATACTTTTTCATACTCAACTCTATAGTTCACACTAATTGTGATGTTAAGTACAACTCAATTCACAATGAATGAAATTATAACAAAAGTAAGAAAAGTGAGAATAGGTGATATGTTAAGTATTTGAGTTTTTAAATTACACAGCTTGAAGTTAGCTGTTAGACAATCTCAAGGAATTAGTGAGCACAACATTGTCACTATTATAAATGCCGTTTAGTTTTCACTATAGAATGGAGATCAGAATTGCAACTGACGATTTATCAAAACCCAACAAATTACTAACCTTCGGCTAATCCAGTTAACAAATGAGAGAGATGAAGATGGGGACATATTCGACAACCTGAGGCAACAAAATTGTTGCAAGTATGAAATATTTATTAGTGATACTAACTTACTGGTGGTAGAGTAATCAACACAAAAACAACGGTTTCACAAAATTTAAAACACCATTCAATAGTTTGCACTTTATACGAAGTTTTAAAAAATACAAAACAAATAAGTATGTTAGTAATTAATAACATATATATATATATATATATATATAGCTTATCTGAGCATTTTAGGTGTACGATAAAAACGCCGCTTTCTTGATAAATCAACCATGATTTGAAGACAACAAATAGTTTCAGATACATGATAGTTCTGAAGGTCACTTATAGATTAATTTAATTTTAAGTAGCAATATGATATATTTATCAACTTGATTGTCTACTGATATGAATAAAGTGTGATTAAATGTTCCTAAAGAGAAAATATGTAACAAAATATCAAACTCAGAAGATTGTACACAAAATAATAATCAATGTTTATTGTTTGTACGTACTTTGAAAATCGGCTGGTAATAAATTTAAGTATGATGTAGTAATGATAATCAAATGATAATGAAAACTTACCGATTTTTGTAAATGATTCCTGTGCAACAGATTCATCGAGTTTAGATTTATCATTTGGGTTGAATGAAACTAGATTCCCTACAGTTGTACTATTGATTGTATTACCAGTGTTGTTGCTATTATTGGAATTGTTGAATTTATTGGGATCTTGAAGGTTTGATAAACCATTAAACCGAACTTCTTCATTTGATTGCACGTCATTGTTAGAAACTAAACCAGAGTATTGTGTGTTATTCAAACAATTAGCTGGTAAAACCAATGGTGAATACACAGGTGGCGTACTACCACCAAACCAGATAGGATGAGAGCGTTCCGTGAAGATAGAAAAATCCATAGTAGATACTGAGGACAAAGCAGACTGACATTTTTCAAAAAGGAAACAAGACATAAGCATAATTATTATGATATAAAAATAAGCTCACTAATAGTTGAATAAAAATCTTTACACTGAATATATATAGAACTAGTTGGATAATAACGTACGGAATGTAAATTCTCTTGATTATTAATTAATCGATGTTTCTTAAATTAATTTGAGCAATGTAATTTACTAGATACTTATAAAATATCCCTATATGTTATTGCTAAATAAATGCTAGTCTATTTCGTCTATTGTGGATTCGCAGTTGTTTTTTTTCAGAAAATGCAGATCTTGACTGCTAGTAATCTTAGCTACAACAATTTATTAATTATCTCATTTACTAGGTCACACCCGAAGGAAACTATCGTATATCTACTGATTTTGCTGAAGTAGATTAAAAAAGGTTTAAGATTAAAGGGCAGAGAGGATTGCAAATGAGTAGAAAAGTTTAAAATTTTATGACGCTTCTATACTCAGTGTAAGCCGTTTTCAGAGAACAAATAAACGAATGAAGGAGATAAGCAAAAAGAACAAAAGCTTATAATTGACATCGTAGCATTAAACAATTTTCCTATGAATATTAAATGTATTGAAATTATACGAATCATTGCTGAACAATAGCTCGAATTAAACACCATAGACAGGTACCGTAGCTTTACCATATCACCATGGCTAAACAGAACTCCAAAGAATCTTAAGATTATACAGAATTAAAGCATATTACAAGACAACTAACACAATTTGTAACGCTTTAGTTCGTGTAAGGATAAGGTCCCCTTTATGTCAACACAGAACTGCACCTACGTATTAGGAGGGTATGTGGAACGTGACGCCTTCTATATTGGAAAGTCATTTCGTGAAATCTTGACTCGAGCCAAAGAAAAAATGAGGTACACGACGAAACCACCTAATAATCCTGTAGAGGTTGAAAAACTCCAAATCAGCAACAGCAGTACAAACTATCTTCAATAACCATCAGATAGATATTCAAATTATCACAATAATACAAAGGGCTTTTTTAACCATAAAGAAAGGCGAGTAGCTGCTTTCCATATAATGTTAAATCCTAATACTCATAACAGGAAAGAAGGCCTTACCATCCATCCAACTTGGACCATCTGTCCAAGCTATTATGTCTCATTCTATTCACAACTCAAATTATTATCTTAAATGCAAATTCAAATCTATTCTTTCATATTAAAAAGAAGTCCAATTTTTCACACCCATTAACACATACAAATACACAAGCATATTTCAAATGAACCACCTTGACCGGAGTGACATGACTTTGACTTGGACAGACATGTTTTTTGGATAGATTGATTGTACTAAATATTTTTGTTGTGCTCCACCATTGTACTATTTAAACTTGAAATTAAAATAATTTTTGTTATTTCTTCTCTGAAGAAATAGCTAACACTGAGTTTAGAAACGTTAGGAAACGTTTCTGTGATTTCTACTCACCGGGATACTACAAATTTATCATTTCTATGATTAACAATCCAACCAATGCCCAAATTTATTTGAAATTATCAAGTTACACCTGGATAATGACACCTGTAGACCGTAAGCTGAGTTGTTAAGACTTGGATTTCTACTGTGAATTTATATTATGACTTTTGTTTAACAATCATTACTTAAAATTTCTTCAGATCATTTCATTTCCAGAATGTTGCATTAATTTATGGCACCGATTAAATACACTATCTGAAGCTTCTTGGAATGTGAATGTGAATAAAACAGTGCAACACTTTCAAGTTAAACATTTTTCATATAAAAAAATTGTGTTTTCAAATCTCTTATCAGTACCTAATCACCTATCAAGAAAGCTATGAGACAGTTTAAGCTATCATAAAATACTGAATAAAATATCAGTACAACGAAACATAAATGTCGGGTGTTTCAACAGTGAAGAACAGAACACTTGAAGTTATCTATCACATGCCATTATCTAAAAACCTGGTTCAAAGGATTTGATATGTAGTTTTGGTGCAGCTCAACAACCTGACAATTCAGACTTCAGAAAACCACACAAGTGAATTTTGGATAAACGAAAAATACAAGTAGACAACTCACAATCAATCAAAAAAAGTATGTGAAAGCTTCCTAAAGCAGAATAGTTTATTCTTAAAATGATAATAAATAGATTATTGTCTTACTCTTTCGCTTAAAGGTAGTATAGGTAAAAGACTTTTCAAAATCATTGGCACTGAACGATCTAAAACATCTATACAACACATTTCTCGGGAATCATTTGAATTTTTTAATGTTGGATCATAAGTAGCGGATTGGATTAAATTTGACAAAGCTCGACATTTCCTCAGAATGTGAACAGATAAACGTCTAGTGATCAAACGACAACTGCACAACATAACCAAAGCAAATCCTTCAGCTTCATACAAAGCTGATTTCTCAGCCATATTAGGTGTTACAGCACCATCCTAAAAATATACAAACAAAATATGATTAGAAACAATTTCAGAAATTTGACATTTTATTAGTACCTAAATACAGTCCACATCTCTCAGTAGTTACAGTCATGAATAACACAATACAGTGAGCTACTAAACAAAAGCAACTGAGTGAAAAGTCTTCAAATTAGAATAATGAATACGGAAATACAAACTCAGTTGACTTGTAATAGTACCTAAAAATCACATCGGACAGTCGTTTCTTTTCATTTCAGACACAATGAGATCAGTCATCTTGAAGTCAATAAAATTATGATGAAGCCGACTTGTGATGAGAAGTACATAAAATTGTAAAAGGTTTCAAAAACATTAATCAATAATAACAGTTTGATTATGAGTGATAAGCTCCAGGATAATTGCTCCAAAGATAATTGCACATATATAAAATCAACTACGTCTGTAAATAGCAATGCAAAAAATATTAATAAACCAATCGTCACCTAGATACGACTTACCTTTTGCAATGCTAACTTCCAATTATTTAATAGATGAAATAAAGTCTTCAAACAGCTATCTAGTTGATGAGGTGATGTGTCAGGTACAGTTTTCTGAATAAATTGTATAAAAACTGAAAATTATAAAGCAAAAAGTGAAAAATTAAAGATATGTATTAACGGATAATGAATAAAAGTTTAATCTAGCAGGTGCTACATTATACATGGCAACTGAAATCATATACACTTTAACAAGAACATTTCTTCCGAAATTTCAAAATTTTGAATTAGTACAAATTAACAAAATGACGTTTGTTGATCACTATTCATAAGCAAAACAGTTAACATTAACAACAGACACAACATGAAAGTACTATAAGAAAGAAGTAAACTGTAAGAGCACAGTTGGTTAAATAAAAACCAAGACTGAAAACGTAGAGTAATCGAAACCGAGGGAAATCCAGTTCATTTATTATTTAGCCATTCAACTTACAACGGAATACAACGTATTCATATTAATAAAAGTGATAGGTTTAAATAGATTTGAATGGTATTATGTCACTGTGTTTTTTAATTGTATGGAGGAGGTTTAAGCAATGAGCATTGATCAAATGATGTGTTTACTTATAGATTCATTTCGGCCGTACCATACCGAATAACTTTATTGATCGAATAGACATATATCCATGGTAAACAAACTGGGGTTACCACTTGGCCCATCTGTATTTTTCTCTAATACGCAGATGATTTCACAGGTTACAAATTTATAAATTGATTAACATTCTGTTGGATACGCAGTTATTAGCCTCATTGTTGAAAACAACAGATATTTGTAAATGTAACAGAAACAGAGTATGTTATGAAATTCAGAAAATGATATAGGTGGGATAACCGTTGTAGTTGAAACTTCGGTAACAAAAATATTAAAAAATATTAAGAGAAGCAATTCAATAAAGTATTTACCCACCTTGTATTGTTTTAACCCTATACGCTGGCAATTCAACAATTAAATTGGCCATAGCTTGCTGTGCCATTTTTCTCACGTCTTCGTCAACGTGTAGGCAAACTTTAGCTAATATTTCTAAAATCTCCTGTTTAGTCATATCAATCGGAAGCAGACGAGGAATACAAGCAACACAAGTCTTTAATAAATCCAGTTTAGGTTTACGATCTGCCCTATCGGAGAAAAATGAAAAGTAAATAGTGCATTAAAAGAATAAAATACTTGTTTACATATCAAAATTCTGATCATCAAATCCTGTTATTTCTAAGGGTAAGGAGAGTGTTATTTTAGAATAAGCTCATCGATTTCGTAAATTAGTAAAATAGGCTTAAAATTTACTTAATACATTTGAGATACCGATGTTTATACACAACAAATGTTTAATTACAACAAGAAACGTTGATGAAACAACTCAGAAAAGCAGGGATAATTATTGAGTTTAAGTAAACCCAAGTAAAACATACAAGACACTAAGTTCAGACGTGCGAAAACTGAATGATAAGATAAATCTTAAGAGCGCTTTACATTTCGTTTACATTTTGTCGCTATCTATTAAGATAATATTTGTTTCTAATATTATCGGATATCTTTTAAAATCCTTTACTGCATGGAGTAGAGATTATAATACTTACATCATATAAATCTTGATGAAATGCAGTAGACCATTACTCGGAAACAGATGAGCCTATTACCAAGACTTCCTCAAGATGATCGCAAATGACATGTCTATGGCTTCGAACTGTGTCATGGTTAAAAAAATACGATCGTCTTCAAAATGACTGTAGTAACTAAATATTGCGAAATGTATAAGATTGACAAACAACTAAAGAGGAAGTTTGAAGATGCCAACTTTAATTAAAGATGAATGAAAGTTAGAACAGGTGTGTTTGGAGGAATTTAGGCAAACACCCAACGTATCAAGTGGCTGGGGGGAGTCAGCAAGAAACCCTAGACCTAGGTTATGTGTTTTTGGCACTAATTGAGAGGGCGTACCGGAAATCATGGATGATTTGATGCCCTATGCGGAATTCAAACCTGTCACTCTGAGTCACAGTTTCAGACAACTCCAGCGAATTATTTAGACCCAAAATTGAGTCTCGCTGAGTGCCGACTAGCAAAAAACCTAGGTTCAGATTTCCAGCCAGCCACCTCGAAACCCCTGGCATCTCAAAATAGTGAACGCTATATCCATTCACACTAACGCTAGTGGCCGTGTTGCGACTTAAGCGATAAGATTCAATTAGCATTAAAGGTCCATATGAACATTTTTGCTTGACTAATCAATTACAAACAGTTAACTTCCTGAAAACATGTAACAACCAATTCCTAAATATCAGAATCTATTTGCATCAGTATTTATAGAATGGATAGAATGTAAGTATCAGCGAAATCCAAGACTTGCGTTTCGTCTTATTAGTGATTCATCAGTTGGAGGTACTTGTATCTCTAAGATGATCGGAAGAAATGCCTGAGAAATCATCCATGGCACCATCCATATATCTACAAGAAATATAACCACACTAGCTTTCGGCTGCTGATATCAGAAATTAAAATTTAATTCGAAAATAACAGAAACGTTTATCTAAACTAAGAATAGTTGCGTGTTTGAAGTAAATCTGTTCTGTTTGGTGGAATTACAAAACCCGTGATGAATATATATATATATATATATATATATATATATATATATATATATAAGCATTACATAGTTCTACTTGTGGACGGTAGCATTATGGTATTTGTAAAAAGCTGCTAGTCACAAACGACATGATAAGGAATCAAATAAAATATTTTGAAATTCTCAAATAAAAATCAAGATGTTAATGTGATTGTCAAAATTACGTCGTTCGAGAGGTAATAAGAATGCCTGAATGAAACTGCTAGGCCAAACTCTTAGGACCTAAATCTTCAACACAACGAAATAAACAACAAAATTGAATGTAACTTACGTCATCAATTCATCGAATTCTTTTTGAGTGACTTCTTGCTTTGGTAACATCATTGTACGACAAACTTGCGTATCTAACTGACGTAAAATATGTTCAAATGCTCTTCGAACAGGTACCAAATAACTTTGTATTCCTAATAAGGAACCCAGCGCTTCATTCAAATTGGTACCGTGAAACGAACGTTTAATAACAGCTTGTCTAAAGCCACCACCAACTCCACCAGCACCAATGCACTGTTGAGGCATGGGTGGTTCCCCCTCCTTTTGTTGAAGACCATGGGCAATCAGCAGGAATGCGCATAACCCTACGTTTATTCGCTAAAAAGCATCATAAAAATAACAAGCAGGACAGATAAACTTACGGATAATTATTAGTTTGAGAAAACTCATGTCAAAAGGCTGTTGGTCGATAAGCAAATTTGGCAAATAGCATAATTAAACAATTTCAATTATTCACTTACAACTGTGACGTATATTTTTATTGGTGTGGAACTCTTATTCTTATACTTTGGAGACACTATTTAGGAACACGTGAAAAGATGGTGATAAGTGAGATAATTATCTAAGGGGAACTTGTGGTGAAGTTTTGTTCTCAGTTCAGAGCGAGAAACTCTGCCACAAATTTTCTCCACCGTGTCTAAAGGGAACACAACACCTTGAGTTAATGGACAATCAAACTTTTGGCAAGCAATTTGAGGAAAAGTACCACTAAAAAAAGCTGCCTTTTTCTCCTAAAACTTCAAAAATTATCCAAACAAGTACTGAGCAGTTAAACAAGTGGAAATTGCTGCATAAATTTCACGTAACAACTTCTTTTATTCTTCCTAACAGAAATTATTTTCATCATAACAGATGTAGTTATAATGATGTTAGATTGTCACCCAACCTTGGAGAGAAATAGGAGATAACCTATTTATCTGGAACAAACGGATTACTTTGTTCCCATCGATTCACTAAACAGGATCAATAAATATTATTGAGCAAGAACGCACTTATAATCTACGCAAAGTACTAAGCATTTATAAAAATTTAAAAAAAATAGAGCATATACTAGCCCTGCATTTCTGTGAGCGAATATATGAATATATAAGTAATTTAAATTCACCTCTGGCATCACCAAAGTTTTCTGTGATCCATTCACCCCTAGCCGCTCGATGATAACTTCTTTCATGGCAAATTCAAGCTTTTCCTGGTTAAGAGGATTAGACAAAACAACCATTATTATGACCATTAGTTAAGCTAGTTTTCTTTGTAAAAATATTGTCAACATCAATTTTTACAAAAACAGTCTATTATATTTTCATACCACAACTAATGAATATGTTTGCATCACTATAATTGGGTAATACACTTGGGATACTAGCTTCATGAATATATACAGAATTTCGTACGAGGTGTAATGAACGAAGACGTAAGACCAGATAAAATCAATGATTTTTCTGAATTACAGACAGTTTACTGGTAAAATATGTACAACTTATCTTAATCCTTCAATTTGCACAACCAGTGGATTGTCGGTTGTCTTCTTCCATGTGTCTTTTAGTCTTCAAAGCACTCTGATTGCGCTATACACTCGGATCCGACACTCTTCACCTCAGTAGTAACTTCAAGGTGACACTGCTACATACTCACTGCACAAAACTTATATAAGCCACGTTGTGAGTAGTACACACTACAAGAGCACTCAAATGAAAACATGAATATATTAGTGTCAAATTCTTGCCAACATAAATTTGTTCATCCATATATAATCTCAAAAATTTTTGTGTTATCTGTATTTAAATGGTAAAACATCTTGAATTCTTAAGTTACGTAAAAGAGTAACTACATCTGCAATCATAAAAGTAGTGAGTAGTGAAAAGGTCAGAATCAAATCCTCCCGAGAGATTTGAGGACCTGTAACGAGAAACAATATTTATTGACTAGTATGTTGATAAATTCCATGTCAACATGTTGCAGCTGGCATCAAAGTCTACGAACCAATCAATTATAGACATTGTAAAACTAGGTGAGTGGGTATCTGTATAGGTTTCCAAGCTTCATAATAACAGATGGAGGGAAATAGTATTATTCACTTCCGTGAAAAGGCACACAATAAAATGTGTTAAAAAAGGTACAAACTGAAAATCAAATTATTTATGTCGATGTTTAATATATATTTTACGGCGTTACCAAGCAACAGCATTATCGAAATGTTCAGCCAAAAATGTATGGTGAAACACTGTGTTGGAATCATAGCACACTATAACTAAAATAGAAATGTTATCACTCACAGTCAAAGTATGCTACGATACATAAAACAA